AAACTTTATGCGTAATTAGGTAATGCTAATTAGGGCATTCCCCACAGACACTTGCTTCGTATATAGAGTATCCCTTCCTTTCTCTTTCCACGAGTTACCTAGATCAGTTTCAGACACTCTCCGCGCTTCAATAAGGTCGAATTTTTTATCAATCATTGTTCTTCTTTAAATAGTTCGCATTGACAGAAATTTTTCTCCTGGTCTAATAAATCGTTTCAGACTTCTGTTGTCGAGTCTCTTTCTTGTAAACTATCCATGTACAGCCACGTAGCATCGTTTTTTAAAGTGAGGGGGGGGGGGAGGCAGAGAAAAAAAAATACTTACCTGAAAAAATTGACCAAAAGAAAAAAGAAAAAAAAAAAAAAGTTGCCCAAAGCCGAAAATCCTACTTCCGGGGTGTGTGTGTGTGTGTGTGTATAGAAGCCAATTTTTTTTCAATGCAGATTTCCTTCAGTACCAATTTCTTACACCTACAATACTACATTTTCCTCATTTTGTGGGAAAGGGGTGGTTTTGACAAGGGACTTTCCTTATTTAATTTTCTTCAGATTCATGGCTTTTTTTTTTTTACCTTGTTACAAGGAATCTGTGTTTCACAAGGGGATGGGGTGTTTTCCAATGTGATTTTTTTTATTTTGGAAAGATACTTTATAATGCTGAAAGTGCAACCGGAGGGGGGGGGAGGGACTCCGAGCCCCCTCAAGATTCAAGCATTATGATGAGGCGGGTCTGAGGTAGACGTATAATTACATGTATAAAATTGATCACTGGTACATTTTACACTCTAGGCATTTGAACAAAACCGATATTACAGAATATCTGACATAAATCAAGATAAACTTGTGTGCACAGTGCTCATATTGTCAACAAAACTACCGCTACATAACGAAAATTTCAACTTTCCGCTATATTTTTTTTTCAGTAAGACTATTGCCGACTACAAATCTGTCCCGGCCAGCAATGCCACTGTGAATAAGTTCTATTCATAATGTTTCGTTATAATGATAATAAAGTTTTTTTAGCTTTTAACTGCCGTTCTTTAATATGCCCCGTTTCGTAGATCAAACAAACCTTCGACATGATCATCGAAAAAAAAAATTGTCATATGAGCTTCTTAAAGGGCACGATTATTCGGTCAGGATAGCAAGTTCATGGATAATATCGTGAATTTATTGATTAAGTAGACATATTTATCTTGTTTATTTTTTGTTTGTATTAGTTGTAATTAATGACTGTTAAGTATGAATTGTGCAAAGTACAGTGGTAAATACAATCTCCTATGCAGAGTTGTCGTTCGTTCCTCTCTCAGAGAGTGAATGTATGAGCCGATGGTAGAGAGTGTGGTAAATAAGGTTCGCAAATTCGGAAACGCGGAACGATTCAAGACACATTACGGTATGACCCCACCCCCATCCCCCCCCCCCAAAAAAAACATCAGGACTACCATCACGTACTAGTAACATGTAGCTGGTGATAGCTATATACTTGTAAAGTCTTACTACTCTTGAATAAAAGCATAACTTAAAAAATTATTTAAGATACATATGTATGATTTATCCTTTATCAGGTCACCATCAAATGCACATATATTGAGGAAGGACGTACATTCTGAACCATGCAATCAATGAAATTCCCGACTCTAGAATGGTCCATTCTTAATTCAAATGGATTTTATAAACTTGAAAGATAATTATAAACATATGTGGATTTTATCTTGTATGATTTTGTTTGTGTTCACATGTTAAAACAGCTGTTGATATTATTCGTTTCCTACGTAAATACTGTGTAAAATCAGCGTAAAATAATGAATGCTAATGTTGCATAATTTTCATTTCCGGACTTAATATTTATAACAAATGAATACTGTTCCCACTCATTAACCGACACGAATTTAATACTAGACGGAGATTTTAAACCAATTATTTTATACACAAAAAATAAAAGTGGTTAATGTTTGGGAACATATTCAATTTCATCAACATTTACCGATTTTTCATGAAAAATGAACGGATTTCACTGAGCAACCGCTGTTTGGTGTGGTATTATGACGTCACTGTAACATATTACGTCATTTTATAGCTTTGATCTTATTGTAAATGAAACATAAGGGACTTGCATAAATAATGGTAGTTTAAAAATAGTAAAATTTCTCGGCCGCATATAGCCAATAACGTACAATACCAAACGTAAAAACTTTTTTTTTACTAAATGATACATATTCTGTATGTATGATTCACAGTATTTTTGCAAAAATGCTATTTAAAACACTGGAAACTCGGAGTCCAGCTAGAAAGAGAAAGTTGGAGTATGGCTCTATGTAATTTCTGATTATACGTGTAAAACTTGACTTCAGATGTTTGAAATCAAGCACGTGCTTAAAATGTGGGTTTTAAAACTTGAACGTATTAGAATCGCATGTGATGCTGAAAGCTGAAATTTATAAGCTTTGTTTAAGTAATCTTCACTCTGAAGAATGAGATACTGGAACGCTTTCCGCAAATTTTCGATATAGAACGATTTCCGGTAAAAGGAAGTTTGGTATGAATTGTAGAGTGGCATATGAAATTCACTGTTGTATGAACCTAAAAAAGGTTGGGGGGATGGGGGATTGGAGCCCTCCACTCCTGACATATTTTGGTACTATAGGGTAATGTACAGAAAATTAAATCTACGTTATGAAGATTTGTGCCCCCTAAATCAGGATGATGTCCATTTTTGTCTTGCGAAGGTACAGGCACGAAGCATCAGAGGGCCAGGCGGCTACTCCCTAAACATTGTTCAAACAAAACTTTTTACTATTGAAAAGGTTGATTGAACATTGTTCGCCCACCTTAGGTTTAGTCAAATACAGGTAATGTTTTGATTTATTAATACAGTGAAAACTGTCTAATCCAGCACCATTGTAATCTATCATGCTGCAAATTCTGACCTAAAATTTCTTTCCCATTTAACTAATTTTAATATTATTTCACACTTTTCTACTTGGCACATTTCTTGTTGTCTATTGTCACATTGTCTATTCCGACACAAAATTCGTCTCCGGGTACATGTCAGATTAGACAGGTTTCACTGTAAAAGTAATGGAGGAAATTGGAATCTATTTTGCTTGTCACGTTTATTCGGTAATAGTTGATTTTTTCCTCTGATTTCTCCCCCTTAAAACGTTGCTAAGTTCCTGGGTAAAATTTTGGTAGTGTCCTCTAAAAATGCTTGGTTAAAAAGTGCCCACACACTGAAATACTTCTTTAGGGCCCAGCATTTTTTGATCATTTAAGATTTTTTTAGGCCAATTCACGATCAATAACTAATAACTTAATAAATAAATTACATCAAACCGCATTATCTTTATCAGTTCTCCGACTACACTCAGATTAAGAAAGCTGTCTGCTAAACTGCTCATAATGCCTGTGTTTTGGTTGACATTAGAAAACTAATTTAAATTATCATTCATATTTGGCCAAATAAGTACGAAATCTTTCAAATATTTTCAGGGACTGCGCTCTTGAGTGAATCTTTAGACATTCCCAGACTGTCTTATCAGCTCATCTCACTCCACTTAAAATTTTATTGTACAAGATGCACATGTCGGAGCTTTGGTAACTTTATTCATAAAGTATTTTATACGTTATATAGCCCTTAGCAATGCATGTTTGACGAAATCCCATCTCAGGTATGAAAAATTTGAAAATTTCTTAGTGCATAATGCGCTCCATACTGATGACCTGTAGTCATTATTTTGTAAATGTTCACAGAACCAAAAATTTCCAGTACTGATTTTTCAGTAATTTTCAGATTTTTTTTTTCAAATGCTCAGAGAAAACTTAACAATTCTTACCTGATTTCAATTATTGCGGCCGTCCTGTTGATTAAATTTCAAGTACAGGGTCTATACAGGGTCTATATGTACTCTGATCATGTGATGTGATGTGCCTGTTTTATCTATCTGTCGGGTGTTTATACATTATTGTCTAGATAAACATTCAAATACGGAAGATCGCAAAATTTTCGCGACACCTTATTTTTGCTAGAAAGTCATTTACTCTTGATAAGCGAGAAAATAAATCACGAATTGTGGCTATTGCTCTTATGATATACACTGGAGTATACTGCCACGCGTAATTACGCGAAATAAAGTTTTCGGTAATAAAAATTCTCATCTTCTCAGTATATGTCAAACTATCTAGGAAATTATTACAACATACTTACCGACCCAATTTTTTGCCCCTGTAATCGGGGAGATATAGTCTTTACCTTATCCATCCGTCTGTCTGTATTTAAGTATGTCTGTATGTCTATCTATTTGTCTGTTTGTCTGCAAAATCTTTAACCTTTCTCATAACTTTTGAGTGGATGGGGCTATAGCTTTCATATTTCATAGGCTTATTCCTTGTGACAAGTTCTTTCATTTGGTACCACCATTTGACCTCTTGATCGGACCTTGGAATTTAACCCGCTTTTCCAAAACTCCCACTCCCCCCCCCCCCCCCCCCAAAAAAAATTATCACATAAATTCTGAACAGTTTGTGCTAGGGCTTTCAAACTTGACATGTGTATTTATTGTGACAAGGCCTTTCAGTAGGTATATAATGTTTTTTTAAAACCTTTTGACCTTATCTTTTACCTTAAGGTTTGACCCACTTTATAAAACTTTTTACTTGCCCATAACTTTTGATTAGTTAGAACTTAGGTTTTCTTATTTCACAGATGTATTCCTTGTAAAAAGACTTTCATTTGAGGACTAAAAACATTTTGAACATTTGACCTTGACCTTTGGAGTTTGACCTGTATTTGAGAAAGATTCAACCCTCACTATAAGCTGCCATAAGGGGCATCAGTGTTTCACAACCACATCTTGTTTTTCTTTCTGTAATTGTATAAATCTAAAATTGAGGTTTGACTGTATATTACATGTAAATCATGTACCTGATACATGTAGATCAGTATATATGTGATCAAATCTATAGATCAGGGAAAACAAAAATCTTTAATTTCAATCTCTTCTGAGTCTCAAGGAGTGGGACCAAATCCATGAAAAATCATCCATACAATCTTCAACATTTTTATAGTGATTGATCTCTGTGTTGTTTTATACTTACTGAAATGTTTCTTTTGTGCGAGACAGTTTGAGTTATCTTAGAAAAAATTATTATGATACGTGTAAGTCCTACAAGATAAATCATTGTCATATTTCACGGTAATAATGGTCATAGGTTTTAATTAAGATATTTGATTTTCCTCACTCGTTTGTTCAATAATTGGGCAACAAACAGATTGTCATTTGTATCTGTACACAATCCAAAAGGATCATTCAGTCCACAATTTATGTAACTGAGAAACTGTCCATTCTTGTCTATGATGTGGACACAATCATTGTTAAAATCAGCTGTAAGAATGTGACTCTGACTGTCTGTGGTGATTCCTCGTGGATCAAATGGTTTGTTCTTTGGAGCAGGAGCATGCCCCGTGTACCTGAATCTCAGTTTCCCGGCCTGATTGACCACCACTACTGCTCCAGCTCCATCATCAGAAACACAGATATCCAGGTTCCTGTTTTCAGTAATGTATCTTAAAATATGAAAACCAGAAGAATAGAGAGGTTTACCTTTATCATCAAACTGAATGGTTTGTTTCTCTGTGGAGCCAGAGTAACGGACAACTTTTGTTTGTTTGTTATCATCACTATACATGATAACCAGGAGGTCATCAGAGGAGGTACAACAGACACCTTTAGGAACCCAGTTCTGTAATCTGATCACCTCCTCTATCTTCTCATTCTTCACAATGTTCACAGTTCTATCAATGTTATCAGTATAAACTAGATCACCACTTTTTGTCACTGCTATGTTAGATGGCATGTTCCCTGACTTGGTTGTGATTGACTTGAGTAGTGATCCCTGATTGATGCTGTAGAGTTTCATGGTGCCATCATTTCCACTTGTCCAGATTTCTTTGTCACTCAGACAGGAAACAATGTAAAAGTATGGAATCAGAGAATATATGTCTATTTTAATGGTGGTGACAGTCTCTGGTTCATCAAGCAGCTGTTTGCCTGAAAGAGAGGATCCAGCTTCTGGTGATTTCTGTATTGTCATCATACTGTATCCGTGTTTATCTGATGTTAAAGAATTTGATGATAAGGCTCCAAACAATTTACTAAGTTCTTCTTTATGGCCAATTCTTGGAATGAATTTAGGTAAAGATGGCATAATTTTGTGTGGAAGTTTTCTGTATCTAGATACATTGACTTTCACGCCAAATAGTTTTGACAAGTCATTGGTGTCTATTACAGTTTCCAATGAATTGATTTCATCCTTGATTTCAGAAATGTTCTTGAGTATTTCATCCAGATGTTTCTGTAGAGTTTGTAGCTGTATGTTTTTCATCTCATCAACTTCAGCTTTAAGTTTCTTGACAAGTTTGTCTATTTCTCTGTGCCAGTCCTCTCCATGTTTTGTTATGGCTGTTGAGAGATCTCCATGTTCCTTTTCTAAGTGAATCATTCTGTTTTGCACATCAAAGGCAATGCCCTGGTAGGTAGGATAAATTGTATCAATTAATTCATTTCTTTGTTTTGTAATCATATCTTTCTTTTCACGAACAACTTGCAAGACTTTAGATAATTCATGACCTAAATGTTGTTTGGATGCAATACAGCTAAGACAGAAAGGAATGTTACATTGTTTACAGTACATTTCACATGGTTCTTTGTTATGTGTGGTACATGTAGGGTAGAGGGGAGTGGATTTCCTGGCCTGAAATTTAACAACTTTGTGGTCCTTGGATTCATCAGATATAATGTGATTTCCTACACAAGCTGAACATAGGTTGGCAAGGCACGTATCACAGTGCATCTGTACCACAGCAGTCTCACACATGTCACATCGCATCACGTCTTGGCTACTGGTACGGGGGTCCATCATTAGACTTTGTGACTGAATTATAAAAATTCAATTTATTACGATTATACATTTATCCAAGGGTTTCTGATACGCTACTCTCCTCATAAACTCTTGGCATACGGTGTTAGAAATAGTTGAGATTTTTTCTCCTGTTGTGATTGGAGTTGATCTACATTGATCGACCAATCAGCAATTGGTTTTTTTTCTTTTTTTTTTTTTTGTAAATGATGATATCTGCGTTCAGGTCATATTTTGATCTTTACTCTCGGGAACGAAAAATGCGAGTAAAGAACGATCACATTCTGCTGTATGAACTTAGATATGGTGTCATCCAGTATCTTAAGATATGTGCGAAATAGGATTCAGAATCTATATTAAAGATGTAGATTTGCACTGAAATGAAAAAATGAAAAATTAATACCTTTTTGTTAATTCTTCTTTAAAAGCTTTCATGATTTAGATACGTTATTTATTTCGGTTACTGGTACAATCTGTACCTGTTCAAATTCGAGATCACGTGATGAAAACAATCCTTTTTTTACAGCACGGTATGCCAAGGGTTTATTAAGAGAGTAGGATATCAGAAACTCTTGGGTAACGAAGATTCAGGGCAACATACGAGGGTTGTCCGTAAAGTTCGTGGACAACGTCAAAAATTACAGACAAATTAAACATTGATAAAATATATGAAATACTATTAATTATTTTCATTAATTTCATGTTTCATTTTATTAATGTGCAAGTTTTAAACAAATTCGGACAAACAATATTTTTATCAGATACAAAAAGACACACACTCATACCCGGTGCACTAAAAGGAACATCCTTGACGTTACAAGATAACATATAAGCTAATTGCATGCCACGGTAATTTTTCTCAACATAATCACCGTTAAACTCAATACATTTCTCATATCAATTTAACAAGTCATCAAAAATGTGCACAAACTGTTCAGTTTTCATACGTAAAATAATATTTCACATGAAATGCCTGTCTCATATCCCTCAAATCATCAGAGTTCTGTCTGCGTAAAAACTACCTATTTACTATTAACGGAAATACGGCAAAGCCACGTTACAAAATTCAGTTTTTACAGCGCTGCAATCTCTTAATGATGGTCTCCCTTCACGCATGTCAGCCTGTATACTGTTCCTTCCGTCCGAAAATCTTGCATGCCACTTAAAATTTCCTCTACTATGTTAATTTTTCCGACAGTTTACAGTATTTATGGACTCTGTTGGTGTTTTTCCAATGTATACGCAGAATTTTGTTACTCCTCTCTGCTCCACCTTTTCCGAAAACGTCCCATTTTTTTAAACAATGTCTATTCTGTCTTAATAGTTTCTAATCTCGATTTCTCACTCATTTGGAAACTTTGAAAGTTCAAACTTTGCAGGTTTGATGTTATAATTCTAGACAACCTCATAATTAAAGCCATCCAAGTTTTCGCAGAATTTTACAAAATACAAATGACATTTATAAAGTGATGAATTACTTTTAAAATTTGCGGTGCTCGGGGTTACCATCCCAAGGCTAATGATGAAGCCATAATTGTTATTATATATTTGAAATTAAATATAATTTTACATTTTATAATTCACATTTAGGAAAGAATTATAAATATGTTAATAATTAATATCAATGACACAACTTTTATTTAATATTTAGCTTGTCCACGAACTTTACGGACAACCCTCGTACATTTTAGCTAACCTCAACGGAATTTTGGGGTGCTAATGCATGTATGTGATATACCCTCTGCGTCGGTGTTGGCGTCCCAGGTTAAAGTTTTCAAGTACTTTTATGCCCTACATTGATCAGATATGCATGCAAGATGCTCCTAGTGTGATATGCATGCAAGATGCTTCTTATTGTATTATTGTACCAGTCAAGGTTTCAGATGTAGCAATTTCAGCTAAGGTTAATGTTTCGAAGCAGGTTCAAGTTTTTGGTGCAGGTCTCATTTCCAGGTAACTAAAAGACCTATCTTAACTAAAATTGCATGGGTGATACATCTAAGGATGCAAACTACCAGGCTTGCTTCAGATGCTGGATCTGACCTATATTTCCTCCATGAGTAAACAGGTTAAAGTTTTGGGTGCAGATCTTATTTCTGAGTAAATATAAGCCTTATATTGGCCAACTTGCATGGGTGATACGGCCTACATACTTCAGATGAGTAAACAGGTTTTTTAATCAGGTTTATTCTAAAGTAATTATATGCCCTATGTGGACCACACTTTCATGGATGATACATCTAAGGATGCACACTATCAGGCTTGTATCTTGATTTTCCAGATGAGTGGTTTTGGGTAGCACACTTCTAACATTAGTTGAGGTGAGCTCTGTAATCTCTGATTACCTATCTTTAATCATGCATAATACCCCATGTCTCATTCATATATTCCATCGTTCTGAAAGCATTGTGATTTCATGAATGATGCATTTATATTCTAGGGTGTCTTAGTTTTCACTGCAGGGATATGCCTAAATTGTATTGAAAACAGATTGTTTTAGAGGTCAGATGTATAACTATGTTATAGGTTAAACAAAATACATGGCTACTCTCTTGTAATATAAATAATGTTTGGGCTCTGGTCAAAAACATAAGGGAGGGCTCGGCAAGCCTCATGCTCTATCACGTTTTCTAACCCTAACCCATATATCACTTACAATTCAGGACAGTTAGCATGTATTTCATATTTCTGATTCCTGGAACCACAGTTTACCAGAGGTCATTATGTAGATATACAAGTAGCTAAAAAAGTCCTCATTTCACATTTAAAGGTTCATTGAATCTTTGTGGGAAGCAAGATTTGTTTCCTTGAGAAGTAGTTAAAAACTGTAGTACTGAATTTCCAATGACTTTCAGAATTACATTTATATGCTTAGAAAAACTTACAAGTTTCTTACCTGACTTTAGTGATGGCGGCTACCCTTGATCAAGTGCAGTCTTTATGTACTCCGATTACGTGACACGCCTGTATTCTAGCTGTCAGGTGTTTATACTTCATGGTCTGGAAGGCGATTTAAAAACTGTAAACAAGTGCTCCTCCCAATTACAAATGTAATTTTATTTATCTTATATTGTTCATTTTTTAGCTCTGCTGCTCTATTTGACTAGAAGCGTTTATACGATAGCATGGTGACTGTTATCCCTCCATCTGTCCCTTTGTTTGTATACATGTGTATAAACAATTCCTACGGTTTTGGCTTGAATTCAGAACAATTTGGCACAGAAGTAAACTACATTTAAATGCATAATTCTTTTGTTTTGTTTTTGATTTTGGTTACACTAATGGTGTTGCAATGGGGTTTTTTTTAATTGAAACCTGTGAGAAATGATTTTTTCCTACAATTTTGATCTTATTTTTATAAAACTTGGCATACAATTAGGATTCACTGGGATATATCTCTTTATGTTTTCTAACTTTGATGAACGGTGTTGCCACAGTTCTTGAAATAGAAATTTCTGTAAAAGTTTTGCAAAAGACTGCCCCTAACAGTTTTAGTCTGATTGCAATAAATATTGCCATAAAAAGGAACTACCGGTTAAACCAATTATCATTATTCTATTAATTGCTGTTGCACAGTTTCAAGTCCAAGTGTTTCTTTTCTCCTTCTTTGTTTTAAGTGCAAATTAGTAGAAGTTCAGTCTCATCAGAGACTTCTTGACATGTTGTATACGGGTCCAAGTTTGTGCAAATCTGAAATGTAGGTTTAAATTTGCCAAAACCAATCACCTGTACTTTTTTTGAGAATTTTGGCTAAGTGGGAAGACACCAAATTTGCATCCCTCCATTGGCAATTGTTATCGTCTCTACACAGGTGAAAAATTCTCAAGAGGGACATTAAGCATCAATTATTAGGACAACTTCATATATCAACTTTTTACATCATTTAAAGTTGTTTTTTAACTCAAATTTAAATCAAACTTTGGCGTTCATTCAAAGATTGTTTATTTGCCCTCTCCAGACCAAAAAAATTATCTCAAAACTTTATAATTTTACCTCCTGGATTTTTTCTATTTTTTTTTTCTCAAATTGTCAATATATATGTCGATTTTAGATACTAATCTACCCACCAAACCGTTTTTTTTATTACTCTGATTTGAAAGAGGACATACAAACATTATTTCTTAGATGCCCTTTCGATATATTTTCTCTTGAAAATCCTCAGAATAAAAAAAAACATGCAAAACATAAAGTATATGTACATCTTGTTTTAAGTTTTAAATTACTTACAAACAGAAACACTTTGAAGTCCTACAGCTGTAAGTAAAGAACAAGGTAAAGAAAGGTAAGTATATGACCATCTAGTTTTAAATTTTATATTACTTACAAACAGGAACACTTTGAAGTCCTTACTAAGAACAAGGTGAAGAAGCGTAAGTTAGCGGACTCGATGCCTCTGGAGGCCCTGATAAAGCGTCACGCCGGTGTCCTGGGTCTCAGTGCTCTAGTGGAAGCTTATCCTTACAATGTACCCGAGTTCATGCCACAGATCCTAATGGACCTTTGCATATCATTGCATTTAATTTTTCAGTATCCATGTACATGTAACTACGTTTTAATGTATTAGCATGTACATTTACTGAGATTTTTTATTAATAAATAAACATGAATGTAGTAAGACCATATGTCGGGTTAGAAACACAATGCATTTCATGTACTAGTACCTGTATAAAAGAGGACTGTGTTCACATAATCCATGAGTTTTCATTTAAATTATCTCCTATGTGATACAATTAGTTTACAATTATGTCATTAACAAATTATTTCATCATTTTGATGAGAATCCTTGTCAAGTTTTCATTTATGAAAAAGTGGATTTGAATAAAAATTATTCTTTCGTCCGATACATGAGTGCACAATGTAAAATTTAAATATGAAAGAGTGGAACAGATACTTTCTTCAGTTTTTTTTTTATTAATATATTTTCAGGAAATCCAGCATATACATACATGAATCAATATCATTGTGTTAGGAAAACGTTTCTGTTCCATGACTGATAGTTATTCAAAAATATTTTGTGGAGTAACTTCAGATGCACATAGCAATTCATCTGAAGTATGAAACATCTTTTGGAGACCATGAATTAATTTTCAGATTATACAAGGACTTTCAATATGTTAGTGTTCTACTTAATAAATGTAAGGTAGAAATTAAGGAGGACCTTTCAAGAGATCAGACTGAAAAAGTGTGTTATGTAAAGTTGCATAAAATCAGAAAACAAGACCAATTTTCATTTGTATAATATGAAATAAATATATGAACAGACAAAACTTGGACTTCGAAAGCTGATGCCTAAAATTTCGGAAACCAGGATCAAAGCAACAATTTTGTACCTACTTGGCATTATTAGGGGCACCTGTCCAAAATTGTGCAGCATCTGTAAGTCTTGGGCCAATTTCCAAGACAAAAATGATCTGGGAGAAAATACCAATTCTGGATGTAAGGACAAAAGAACACTATACAGGAACACCCAGAAAAAAGTTACAAGTTTAGTACAGGTGTACCTAATGATGTTCAGATGACTGTTAAGATTCAAGGCCATTTCTGAAAAGAAAAACTTGGAAGTTTCATCTTGAAGAAGTTACTTGGAAAGTGAATTTTTCTATAAGATGAGATTTCCAATTTGATATAGATTTAAAAAAAAATAAAATGCTAACTTTCTTTGTTTTTTTATTGACGACCATCAATCAAATTTGGACTTGCAAAATTGTTTATATTCAGTTTAATGACAAGAAATAACATAATTTTACACATTGAATGAATGGTGATTCATTAAAAAGACCATCATACAAACTCATTTGTGCTACATTCATTAGAACTTCCTGGTCTCTTACACTCAAAAAAAAAATTATACATGCACGGCACATTTGTGACAGACAAACAATCACAGACATGTTCGATGCGTATTTTATCTCTTCAGATTTTATTAGAATCTTAGTTGCAAATATTAAATGTAAATTTTAATACATGTACTTAAATTATTTAAATTATAATACTTAAATTGTTCTTCTTTTCTTTTAAGTCAGTGAAAGAAAACGTTTGCTGTTTTTTTTTTTAATTTTCCACCTTTTATCAGAACAATCTTATGCACTATTTAATACATGCAAACAGGTATTGCAATTTCCCCCTTCAATAAGAAAATGAGCTGTCTAGCAGTTCTTAAATCTAAGAGTTTTGAAAATAATTAGAAAGCAACATGTTTGACCAATGTTTAAAACCGCGTACAACCATAGAGTCACAACATGTGACTTTCCATGAATATATCAACTCTATATCAATAACTCTATCAAAATATTTCATATTTCTAACCCCAATCTGGTTTAAATGAGGAATATATTTTTTTCATTTTAACTTTAATATGAATCATAAACTATCTATAATATGAAAAACAAATTTTCAACCTGCTCAATATTTTTAATCTAGTTTTTCTTTTGTAATTAGAGCCATAGCACTTATATGATCAGCAATAATATAGACAGCACTTTACAATGCGTAAAACTGGATATACAACACAATGCCAACAGTAAATACAAAATTAATCTTTACCCAGCGAAAATGGAGATACCCCATCCAGATAACAATGATTTTTCAGATTTCTAAAATCTGAGATTAAATAGTACACGTTGTAAAAATGATGGCAATCATAATTTTTTCTTGCTCTTCTCCAACCTCAGTACATATAATTATATATACAAATATCACTGGTACAAACATAAAAAGCGTCATTCTGACCAGATGTATACATAATATATTTTAACTAAAGATCTAGAAAAAAAATGGTATATTTTCATCACATGACAAAAATATCAGAGGACTTTTGAAAAATTGGGGTGCTCTGTTTTATAACTAATCATTTATAAAAAGTCTGAAGTATACATACCGGTAATACTTGACGTCAGCTTTTGAATGTAACAAAGCAGGATTATTCCAGAAGGTTTTTACTCTTAAATCAACAGTGCTATTTGTTAACAACTTGCAATTAGAATATTTTTAAAAACATTTTAATTGCATTTCCTTTAAAGAGGTAACTTTAGACTTTTTCATAGATTTGCCCTCTAAAATTTGTTTTCACATACTGTAATTTTTTTTTTCATTTAATTCATTTTAAAACCCTAATTATAAATATTTTTGGGTATATACATTTATATAATTTCCACTGGTTCCTAATGTCTGTTATCTGGACCAAAAACATTTTTGAAAGTTCAAATAAATACAGATTGTAATTCTTAGGCAATCAATGTATTAAATGTCAATCAAAAAGCAAACTAACAAACATGGAATGTTCTACATTTAAACATATAAAGTATAAGTACATGTAGGTATACTCTCCTGATGAAAAGTTCAAAATCCAAAAATCTATCACTGATTCTTTCGTTTTAAATTTTATTCTTTGGATATGAATATTTGTTACTAAAATCATTGATGAAAATCAGATTGTACTATGAATATAATAAATAAATCCCCTCCCATTTTCAGAATAGAAAACTTATTAAAGTTTCTTCTCCGACTATGAGATGTAGCTTTATAAATATTGTAAAATGCCATCATCAAAATACTGTAAAATTTTTTGGTATTGCCTCTACAAAAATGCATTATCAAATAGTTTTTGAAAAACATAAATTCCTTGGAAAATGTTCATACAAAATTCCAAGACAAAAACATAATCACTAATTGTAAGTAAACATCCATTTGATTCAAAAGTGAGGTGAGGGGTCAAAAAATAGAGAGATGACAATGAAATTCAGAGCTTTGAAATGTTACACAATTCCTGATTGGCTCCTTGGTGATAATATGGACTAATGAGGCTGCTTTTTACTGAATGGTGATGGTGAAATCTTTAGCGATATTAACCCCAGGCTTTCTGACTGTTAGAACTCGACTTGTACTGTCATAACTATGATATAGAGACTGGGAATTCCCATCAACTGAAAAAAAAAAATACATTGGAAAAGGGTATTCTAAGATATACATATACATGCATACTGAAATTTTTTTTACCAATACTGGAAAGAGAAGAAATTCAACCCAACAGCACACAGAAAATCTTGTGCCGTAAATTGCACCTTCTAAGCATAACAGGATCTGTAGGGTTATGGTCAAAGACAAATATATATAAAACCATGATGCTATAGTTCTGCAGCTAGTTCATTATATGATGCTAAACACAGATAGTTTTGAACGTATGTTGCAATTTTACTAGTGAAAAACATACACAGTACACGGTATTTTACATTAAACTGGAAGTAAAAGACATGAAGTTCAACTCAACTATATTCTATATTTATTTTTTCATATGAGGCATGCTTTATATTTCTCATCCTTCTTTAAAATGAAATATTAATCTTCAGGAAAAGATGTTCATAATCCTACCTGTAATATGTACGCTGGATGCAGCTTTAGGAAATCCTACAATGACTAATTTTTCTAGCCATTCTTTCGTTGATCCTTGTCCATTTGGATCTGCATTACTGAAATAAGATAATAATCTTGTTCAAATGCCACTCTTCAAACACTCAAAGTAAAAGAAAACTTAATTACTATAAAAAAAATTCTCAGAACTTACCTGCTTGTTAATATATTATTTTTTAAGCTAAATTCTCTGTGAATGTAATTTCCACTTCTGTAAGCGAATGATTTGTAATCATCAGCATATAAATCTCCTTCAGCCTCACCCTGTAACAGAAGGACATCAATATAACATAGGCTATTGTGCTAAAACGAAACTACATATTCACACTCATTTGTCACTGCTTAATTTTTTTCTTTTTTTTTTTTTTTTGGTATATGGCACAACTCATTTAGTATGAACATGGATATTGTGAATTCACAGATATAGCATAGTTATCTTAGATCCCCTGCTATATAAATTCAACAAATTCTTTATACGGATAAAACAAATTATGGATAGAGCAGAGTAATTTTATAGGTTCCAGTGACTTTCTTATAACCAAGTTTTACTGTTTCCATTAAAAACTTTTTCTTTATCCTTTTTTAAATCATTTTTGTGCTATTTGAATCTGACTACTTTCTTTTAATCTGTATTCTTTTAAATGATAATTTTGACAACAAACCTGTTTATTGAGACATATAACCAAAGTGAAGGGATCAGCTGACATTAAGGAGGAGGACCTCCGCACCCTCATTTTACGTGGAACAATGGATCCACCCCTCTGAAAGACGGGGATTTTTCCAAGAGGTGCATTAATGTAAGTGTTCTGAGCACCTGCATAGCTCTGGTATGTCTGTATGTCATACCATACCTAGATAGAATCAAATCAAAATCAGTGTCTGTGAAAATCAAAATGAGTAAGAAATGACAAATTTCTGAGCTATAATCACTAATGTCTACTATTAATAGTAACGTATCCTTTTGCAACTTACATCATTTTTGCCAGGGAAATACACAGTTGTTCCAGTTGCCCCCTGATCTGTGATTGGTTTGACCAAAAGTGAAGATCCTGAAATATAAATAAACAATTTGCATTCAAATTAAATACTGAACAAAATATTGTTGCCATTACAAAAATCCCAATTCAAATCTCGTCAGATGGAAAAATGGACAGTCATAGTTGAGCAGTTTTTTAAAAAAAATCTTAATCATGGGTAGGCCATCATCTTTACCTAATAAATATTCATCATCCATTTTGAATGTGCTTTTATCCTCAGGAAACTCGACCCACAGTGGACTCATGACCGTCTCGCCGCTACGATAGCCGTGGTAAAACAGTGTGTACCAGAAAGGGAGGTAAGTGTATCGCTGACGGATGGCGTCCCGGACTATATTCCTGTTCTCCTCGGGTAATAAGTAAGGCTCTCGTCTCTTTGTGTCAATGTGGGCGTGAGCTCTGAAGAACGGTTGGAAGGCTGCAGCCTTAGAAAATACAAAACAATACCAAAACATACTGTTATTTATATGTTATCAAGTTTTGCAAAGACTTAAAAGATTTAAAGGTTTACCCTCCCTCTGTTAAACTCACTCTGTAAAACTGCTTTATTGTTAACAATTCTCCATAAAAAATAAAATTAGAGTCAAAATTATAAATCAAAATTTAAACATACCTTACAAGTAAAATTTTGATAAAAATGGCCTTTCCACTTGACATTTTTGTCAGAAGTAGTCAATTCATTTTCAAAGTAAAAGTTATCTCCCTTATCAAAGTATCAATAAATCCGAAAATCTTTCATGCGAAGTGTGTAAATGGTATTACATGTACCTGATACCAGCGGGTCTGCAGTTCATTGTCAGGGTTCTTGAAGAAGCCACCCACGTCGGCTCCTGAGAATGTTATTCCAGCCAAGTTCAAGGTCAGTAACATGGGTACAGACACCTTAAGGTGTGACCATTCACCCATATTGTCTCCAGTCCATACTGCACCTGTAACAACGCAAAATAATGTTAAAATAAACAAAACCTATCATATATCTTTGACATCCAGCATTTTCCAATATTCTGATCATCATTTGATGATAATTTTTTTTCCACTTTGAATTCCTTATGTTTAATAATTCTTACCAAACCTCTGTGACCCTGCAAAGAAAGCCCTGGTGAGGACAAATGGTCTCTGCTCATTGTTAGATCTCATCAAAATTCCCTCAGCTGTGGCTTTTTGCTACGACAAATAAACAAGACCTTTTCTTCAGCAACCAATATCACATCAAAATTACAGAAAATTAAGGTTCATAAATCCTCTGCTCACTCATATAAAATGTTGCTTGAACCTTTTTCCAAGAGAAATGTATTTTATAAGCACATTACTGACAATTATAGCATAGCTTGCAGGGCAAAATTGGACAAAAAAGACACTCCAACTTGGCAAATGTATAAAGGAATAATAGAAATTTATGTCATTAAGAGTTATCTCTCTTATCAGAGCATTAATGATCCTCAAGGAAAAATGTTAATTCTTATATAAAAAAAAGCAGAATTCTTACCACATAAAATCCATATAAATTGTGTACATCTCTGTTTTCAAATCCTCCGTGATGAAGTACGTCTTTGTGAAATGTAATTTCTGGCCCATTAAAGACAGAAGGTTCGTTCATGTCATTCCAGATATACAGGTCAGGGGTGCTGCCATCGTATTCTGAATACTGGAACTTTGACGCCCACCAGTTTCTGACCTCAGGGTTAGTGAAATCAGGCCAGCTCGAGGAACCTGAATATACATTATTGCATCATTATTGTTGGGGAAAAGTCTTGGAGCTCATTCACTTTATAGCTTTAAATGTTAAAATAGATCTATTATAAAGGAATTCATTAAATTCAAAGTACACAGGATGGCATTCAGACCAATTTGCTGGTTGGTAAATCTTTATGATCAAACAAAATTATAGTATAACTTGTTAATATGGTTTATGGTTGTGTAAGAGCTGTAATCAATGAAGGAAAGACTTATTTCATCAACATGTATTTCCATAATGTTAAAAATTTTTAGGAGTGTAGATAAACCCTGAAAATCTGTAATCATAAATTATACAAATTGTAATTACAAAATTACCTGGCCAGCACCACCCCTCGTATTCCCCTCCGTTCCCGCCCTTCACCATCAGATCCCTGTTTTTAGCGTCGGCGTACACTTTGTAGTTGTCGTCTCGCTTCAGATGAGGGTCCACGATCGTCACCATCTTTCTCCCCTTAGCTCCTTCAGCATCCAGCATGTCCTTAGAGCCTGGGAACTTGTGAGCATCCCATGTAAAGTATCTACCAAGAAGTCAAATCAATCATAAGTAAGGTATCTAACAATAATTATATTCCATGTACAGTATAAATCTACTAAGAAATCAATTAAATCCAATCAGTAACATCCAATGTAAAGTATCTATCAATAATAAAAACAAATTAATCACACTCCGTATCTACCAATGCAATAAATCAAATCGATCACATCCCTTAGCTTATAAGTACTGTAAACCAACTTTTATTCATGTGTGAGAAATTTTTTGCAAAGTTCGCAAGAGCTTCCTCCTCGCAAATATTTCTCCCAGCGAGCCGGTCCTTTAGATCTCTGTGTCTATTAAACATTATCCAAAAAAAGAGTTTGATCACAAAATTAATTGTTCCAAACTAGTTTACCCCCGTTAAATCGCAAAATAAAGTAAAATAAAATTCCATTTAAAGTATCTGCAGATGTTAGTATCTGTAGGTAGTTTAATTCTGATATAAATGAGAACCCTACCTTTTACCATCTGTATGTTCAATGTCCAACCAAATCACATCAAATGGAATGTCAAACAGATCCATATTGGCATCAACACTGAAGTAAGAAAATGAAACACGATTCCATTTCTGTATAAATTATCATTTTGTTGTGTTATCATAATCTTTAGCTTACTGTTATATTTTACTTCTCCTCTTTAGGCATGTAGATTACTGTAAAGCACAAATATTAGTGGGGGATTAAATTTCGTTTTTTCGTTTCAATTATCATTGAAATTAAATCCCACAAGAAATTTTATATGACTATATATTGAATGGGGTTGCTTTCAAAACAATGAAATTTTACCCCAGGAAACTCCTTCTAATGACAAATTAACGAAACTTTATTCCCACAAAAATTTGTGCTTCTACAGTACTTCTCACAGATATTTTCTAGTCTACAGTCTACTCACTTTTTAACATCTTCTTGGTCATTATAATTCCACCTGCACTGGTGATAGGAAATTGCAAAGAGCTGCAAAGAGAAACAAAATTATCAACAATTGCAAAATAAGGAATTCACTTGTTTTTTTTTCCCCCATGCCCTTAAATTCATTAACTTTGCAACAGAATTTCTTTTCTGAATCATCATGCACTGTAGTTTTATCATGTTTTAGCTGAAAACCAATTTCTATTTTTGCCAGGTTGAGTTAGGTGATCAGAATCTACAAATTTTTCTTATATAGAATAGGAGACAATGTAGCTTAGCTGTCCATGAATTTCCATATAAACAAATTTACTATTTTAGCCCTACTTTTATATCCAGTAATACATAAGCTTTAAACCTACCGGTGGTAGCTCAGTGGACCCGGTCAGAGTGGCGTACTGTTTGAAGACGTCTTTGGGGCGAGGACCCAGCATAACAAACACGTCGATGACCCCGCTCTCAGAAAACCAGTGGGTGTCCATCTGGGCCATCTCAGTGTTTCCCTTCACCAGGTCCGCAATTTTAGAAAAGAAATTCTACAAGGTAAAAAGACCTACTAACTCAAAATGTACATGTAACATATATTCAGGCTTTTCTTAATTTACCCTGGTATTTTACCTGGCTGAAATCATGACTGTACTGGCCTAACAATATTACTTCCACATTGTAAGTATGAAGGTTATTCCTTTTTTGTAAAAATACTGCCTGTTTCTAACTTTTCTGAAAACCCCATATACCGGGTATATGTACCTGATACATGTATTGGACAGAGCTTTAAGAATTGTATGTGGATATTTGGAATCCAATAATTTTATTTCTGTATCATAATTATATGTACCGTACAACTGAGGTGAGTATTGAATATGAATTATTTGGAAGCTTGTATTTGTATTTACAGAGGTGAGTCTTTACCTTGTCTGCTGTTGTGGAGCTGATATCTATCCAGGTCTCTGCTGCATTGTTCCAATATATCCCCACTGTGCTCTTCTCACTACAAACAAATGCATCAATAGTAATCAACATGTAAGACATTGATTACAACATGTAAGATTTTGATTATAATATGCAAGATTTTGATTACAACGTGTAAGATTTTGATTATATATGTGTAATATGCAAGATTTTGATTACAGCATGTAAGATTTTGATTATAATATGCAAGATTTTGATTACAACAATCATGCCAGATTTGATTACAACATGTAAGATGTCATATCTTTACAATCTAACCTCAGAACCATCACAGCAAAACAAAGGAAGACCAATAACTCTTACCTAATTTTTCTTTCACTTTTGCAAAGATGCATCACTTTACTTTCACTTTACCAGTTTTTCACCTGTACTTTCACCTTAATCAAAAGCAAAACTTACTTGTGGGCCCACATGACAGGTACAGATCCATAAAGAGCCATGGGATTGTATAATTCATACTCAAACACGTCCAAGTTAAACAAACGATAGGGGTCTGTGTCTCTGTAAATAAACAACATACATGTATACAGATCATTTGTGGCTTCTATTAATCAGAACTTGCTTACAAGTCTGTAGTTGAGGAGTTATAAATTAGCAGTCTATACATGCAAGTCTCTGATAAGACAATCACTGTGTTCAAGACAGTTCAGGGTTCACTTACTTTGTGGTTTTGAGTGCCATACTTTCAGCATGTTCAGGAATTCCGTACACATTCTCAAAACCCGGGAATGAGATGTCAATACCAACAGAGGCAGGACCTGTAGCAAGAAAACATTTCAAGATTTGGGAAACACTTAATAATCATACAAACTTGAATTAATATTTTCTAAAATACATGTTATAGACTTAGTAAGGACATATTTTTTCTTTCACTTTTCATGTCAATGACCTCACCATTGGGCTTAGGATCATGGAAGGATTTAAAGGTTTCCTCCCACAATCCTGACTCCTCTGGGTCCTCTGGCTTCTTCTCTTCTTCTTCCTTCTTCACTTCTTCATCCTCCTGAAATCAACCAATCAAATGATTCAGGGTAAAATAAAACTACCAACCACATAGCTCAGCACAAGATGAAGCAACCAATCATATATCTCAGCACTATATAAAAGTATGCAGAGAACCAAAAATTCATATTCCCCCCAAATAATTTCATACTACAGTAATGAGGTCCTCCTTTAAGCCACAAATCAAATCCTCTTCAACTAGTATTTTTTCATTAAACCACAAAATTTTGACCCTTTGAAAAAATGTGACATGCTAAAACATAAAATCATTTCTAATATATAGTCATAACTCTCTACAGTGAATCACCCTGACCCCCCACTGACCTTTTTGTCCTCTCCCTCAGCGGGTGGATCCGCGGGGGCGGCTTCCTCTGGCGGTGCCTCTCTGAAAGGTTGGGAAAACCATGAGAAAACAGAAGTCACCTTGTCCAGCCAGCCCCTACACAAGAGAGAGGCTACTGACTTCTGGCTTAGTACAACATGCACAACTATAGTAGCAAACAGAACAGAACAAGAGGGTCAGAATATGGAGCGCTAGGCCTGGTAGGCACAGTCAAACTGCCTAAGAATTGTTAACAGAATAGATATCTGATACAGCATATTTTTTACTTTGCCTAGCTAGATTTTCATTTGGTTTCTTTAGAGAAAAAGTTTAAATCTTACTTAATGTGTTTAAGATGGAACTTTGAAAAATGACTAGTTTGATTTAAAATTAAATTAGTACAATAACGCAAGGAGTTAATCTTTTTAAGTTGTGGAATTTTACAGATTAGTTTCAGATATGAATATCATGAAAAAATTTATTAGTACAAGACAAATTTTCATGTGTGAACCGGGATTGAACCCAAAGAAAACCAAATTAAGAAAATTATCAAACATGAATGTCAAAGATGTTAACAAAACAGTACATGAAATTTCAAAACAGTGATTAACATGATTAATAAAAACAAAGAACAAGATAAGATAAGGCTCCTGTTTTGCCCTAAAATAATGACTGAAGCAGGCTTAAACATGTTAAAGAAATACATCAAGTTCAGTAACGTAATGTCAACAAACTTAGAAACGGACAAAATCCAATAAAATTTATGAAATTATTGCAGTCACTGTATATGTATCCTGCAAATATTGAGAAACTACAAGTAAAATGGGCAAATTGAACATTTTTTGCTTTAAAAAGTATTACAGCCTATTTAAATTATGTAAGATGTTTTCTCTGTTATGATGAGTGTTGTTGTATTTTTAAGCTTGATACATGTGCTCTAAACTTTCTAACTGGAAAACTAGCATCTCTAAGGTTTCGATTATGATATAAACAAATATCATATTTATTGTTTCAGTCAGGTAGTTAACACATTTTTAAGTTTTTTAAAAGGATTGCATTTTTTGTTTCCTATTTTCCTTTCCATTTAAAAACTCTTTAATATTTAAAACACATAAAATTCTCCACTTTCCATATAATAAGTGAACATATTTACATTCACACACACAAAAAGTAAAAAATATACTTACGGTTTCTTTCTAAAATGTTCGAATTTAAGCAGGCCTTGTGAGTTGATGCTGACCAATGGTTCCTCTCCCGAGATGAAGTCGATTCTGAATGGTGAGTACGTGAGGACAATCTTGCTGTTCTCCAGACCCAGTGTTATACTACTCGAGGCCTTGTCCAAAACTTTTATGCTTTAAAAAAAATTGTAAAACTTTGTAGTCAGAGTTCAATAGAAACATGCTGCATTAAAATCAGATGCTTTTAAAAAAAAAGTCTTTATTATCAAGTCTTTTCACTGCGCAAAACTTTACCTCTGATATAAACAACTTCATTAACAAAATCTAACAATTAGAAATATTTAGATTTTAAAAAATGCAGAACAAGCTTTGAGGGATAAAGAACTTGACTCAATGATCCCTTTGTTTAGGTTAATGTGTAAAAACTGGTTTGAATCTCAAAAGCTCAAAAAACATACTTGGTATTTTTTTCTTAATCCTCCAACACAACTTCTTTTAAAATTATTTTTTACCCCACTAAGCCATTAGGTTTGAAATGCAATAAAATAAAACAAAAAATTAAAACACTGCTAAACAATAAAAATCCAGACTTACTCCTGTTGTTTTGGTTCCCCGACCAGAACATCCCCGACAGGAATCTCGTAACGAGTCTTTAATGGTTCCAGCTCATTAATTTTCACTCGCGCTGTATTCCCTTGTAATCCATACAAGTCCAGAATAAGTCGCACATTTGTTTTAGTATTAAGTAATTGAACACTAATTTGAGTAGGTGTGATTTTTAACGAGTCCATCAAAACAACATACGGGCTATTCCCAGGCTGCAAGCTTCGGTGTCGCCTGAAATAAGGAAAAATATATATTTTACTAAAAAAGATAGATATTTTGCTAAAAAACAATCTGTGAAAACATCATAGTCAAGAAATCACACAGTCTGAATTTAGGCCAGGTAAAATTAATCTTTAGATTCTCATCCTAATTTGCTAAAAAATTGGGGCGGGTGGGCGGATTTTATTTTTTATTTTTTATAATTGTTAAATCGTAAGTATCAACAAAACATGGACTCTTCGTTCACATTTTTTTTTCATTATGTTAACAAATATGAATAGATTTTATTCTTTTCATATTCTTTTAAATATATAAAGATTCTTGCTTTAAAAATTAAATATTAATTGTTAATTAACATTATCAAGTACACATTATACGGCACACCCGGAACAAAATGAGGTGGGGATACCAATAAATTGTGTGTGACTTCTCATCGGCCTTACTCCAAATACACTGTACATGTACCTTTTAGTTTTACCAACAAATCCCTGTTTTCTGTAAAATATCATAGATTTTCACCTTCCTAAAAATTTCATCGTTCTTAAGACTTGACATATCATGTTTCGACTTTAAAATAGGTCATATTTGCAAAATCTATAAAATGTTCTAATCAAATTTAAGATTGACCATTCCCTTACATGTAGCACTTAACATTCTCTAAAGTCTGTTTACGAATTTTTTTTTTCAATGGAAGATCACACACAGCTGGAGATCGTTATATAGGCCTATAACTTGACCAGGTGTCATTTTCCTCGTCTATTTTTACTTAGTTGCAATCTTTCTAAAAACTTGCTCCTGCCAGTAATGGTATCTAAATGTGTTTATGCTTATTTTCTTCTCTGTCTTCTCTATACTGACAAATTATCTTCTCCATACATATTTAAAATGCTTTTATTGCCGATTTTTCTCCCTTTCTTCACATGGCTCTTTTGCTATAAATAGCGAAACGCAACTTTTAATACAGACGGGAGATAACTCTTAAAACATTGATCCAAATAATACATGAAAATACCTTTATTAACACCCAAAAATCAAAATAAAAAACACCGGGGCGGGACATTTTGAGAGGGGTGGGCGGGGATGAGAATCTAAAGATTAATTTTATTTGGCCTTATTATTTAATTTTATTCTCCAAAAATTAATCATGGTTGGGCTTCAAATTTTAATTAACTTACTTGCAAAATCCACTCTGGTCACATGTTTTGAAGTTGTCTCGATTGACTGAGTGCACCTGCACTATCAGCAACAAACAACAAAGGTATGATGACAACCTGTAAGTTTAAGATATAATAACACTATGGTCCTTCTACACCTGTTTGATAAGAAGTGACAGTGGGGAATCCTGGGAGCATAATCAGAATGAAGGAGTCAAAGTTAGGTGTTCATAATGCTAAAATTTCAATACCATTGCCCCCTTGCCAAAACATCGCACATCTTGACTGTCACAAACAATATACAACATGCAGTCAAATATCCTTTGCACAAAAAATGAGTCAATGTACCTCAAAAGCCCATGTTTAAATTTAGCATTCATAATATGGTTTGTGATGAAACATTTCAATTTTATTTACTATATATGAAAATGTTGATTTTACATATGTGTTATTTCAGAGACATATTAAACCATAAAGACTATACAAGTACTTGTAACAAAACTTGTTTGGATGGAATGATACAGCAAAAAACTGAATAGGTAATCGGCATAATTTTTTCTAGGATTAACCTCATCAAAAACCTTGAGTCCAGGGACTGAACAAAATCTATGTGAAAAGTTATAAAGACAGAATCCTAAATATTTACCTTTCAATAACTTGTAAACTGAACATTATGTTCAGCATCAATAAATACCTTATAATATAATAATAATTGTCACAGGGCATTTAAACTATTTCCAACATTCACAAAAACTACATCTTTTCTACTTGGGACCTACAAGTAACATGTACAGTCTTTACTGTACAAAAAAACTTTTTTTAAATAAGTTTTCAAGAAATGTAATGTTAAGTTATGTTTCCAACCTATATCCTCAAATACACATATAATAAATTGCCATTAAAGTTTGCTTCATTTTTATGCAGGATTTGAGACAACATCCATTAACAAATTTGCTAAAAGTGATAGTTTTAAATTGCATTCCATATGATTTCATTGCATCAGTATATAGTTTTCACACGCTAACCAGGTGTTGAAACATACTAATCTCTTTGCCTGTGACAAAATAATTTAAATTTGTGCATCTCCGCTCTGTTGGTCAGGTGAATGGTTTTTTCAAGCAATGGTAAAAAAAAAATATTTAAACCAAAGCTACAGGCAAAGCAAACCAGTTATGACTGAGTATGTATGAATTTTACAGTACAGTGGAATCACCAATTCTGGGTCGTCTCCAATTCCGGGTCACTCATTGTAATTTATGCCATGTTATTAAAATTTAATCGCAAAAAACTTAATAAATACACTGGTCATGAAGAATTGGTCTTTCTGTCTTTAATTAATTTCAAAATTTTGAATATCAACTGTAAGAGAGCATCTGGCAATTAAAATTCTTAAACATATGCATTGAAGACGGGGATGTTTCTGCTTCGGTGACGGGCTACTTTCGTTTTTGTTCGCTGCAGCAAGGCTGATATAAAAGTTGTAGATAAATAAGAGGAGCTTGAAAGTGTGGCAAATGCATTTAGTTTTAATTTAGAAATTAACCAATCATAACGATCACTGCACAAATAAAATTATAATGATTAATGAATCAAACTGTAGTTGCTTCTCCAATTGCTATTCACATAATCTCGTGGTATGAAACATGTCAAAACTTAGATAGAATGTTCTATCGTTAAAATGATATTGTCCTACGGACCCAGTTTAACGATAGAATTCGTTCCGTGTATTCGTAATGTAGCAAAAGAAACACGGGCTATAACTCGCATAGTGCATTTACTAGGAACAATCTAGAGAGTTCGGAATGTAAACATGGAGGTAATTTGAATCGAGAGAAAAACGTTGAGAAAATGAATTGGATTTTCGTATTTATATGGATTATTTTTTGGGATAAAAGGCATAAGCAATCTCAAAAAGGTTTGTTTTAATTATTTTGGTAGTTATTCCCAGTGCAAATCATTTTATATTCTTCAAAATCGTTTCGGAGCGGATCCGCTCCGATTTGCTACATTGCAAGTATATGGGACGTATTCTAACTGTGGTGAGGGCTTGTACCGAGACACAGTTAGATTATTCTAACTAGTCAAAACTCAATGTACAAAACCAAGCAACAACCATGTATTTACCTAATTCTACCTAGAAAATATTTTTCTAAAAAATAAAACTGAGTTCACCCTTCAAATTCATTTTTTAATTAATAAATTTAATTGTACAGCAAAACTCGTTTAGTAAGAACACGGATATAACGAATTCACAGATATAGCGAAGTTTTTCTCCTGGGACCCCGGCAAAATTCTTAACAAATCTTTGTAAAATTTTACGGTTATAACGAACTCGGATGTAACAAATTTATGGATATAGCAAACTGATTTTGAGTCCCGTTGAGGTTAAATATAATGAAATTTACATCTTTTATAACGATCAACTTTCAAAGATCTCAAAATTTATTAAACTGAACTGACTTTATTTTTTTGTAGCATTTGTATACAAAATTCAATTCATAATAAAATCTTAGTTATCGAAGGTATGTTTTTAATTATTTCTTTCCCTAACATATTTGATAGCAATACTTGAAGGAAAACATTCATACTGCGAACTCGCTATATATGTTTATACGAATTCATCATACGGGTATAACAAATTATGGATATAGCGAATTAAATTTGCAGGTCCCAAGGACTTCGCTATAACCGAGTTTTACTGTATGATTTTAAATAATTCAATATATGTATTTTTTAATTCTGCATATTTCAATTTGTTTTAATTGTTGTTATTTTTTTTTTAGATAATTTATACATATTTCTGTGTTTGTTTTCTTTTTTTCCAAGCTGCAGGAATTATTTTATGTTTCAAGATCATAAAAATCGTGTTCCAAAATGATCCATGATTATTACAAGACCGTGAAGTCACATGACATGGAAATGGAGAAAATGATTCGTAACTGGGGATGCTAGGCCTTGCTGGAATACCGATGTTAATATTGTTCCTGTGTAGCTACTTTAAAAACAAAATTGCTTTTGGAGGACTCATGTTTTGTACATTCAATACATATATTGCATAAAATATAAATCAAACAGCTTTGCAGTATCAAGGAAACACCCGGACGTAGTTAGAATAATCTAACTGTGTCTCGGGACAAGCCCTCACTACAGTTAGAATACCACCCATATACTCACAATGTAGCAAAAATTTGCACGCCATGTTTACGTTCGGAACTCTCTTGATTGTTCATAGGAAATGCACTGATACGAGTTATCGCCTGTATTTACTTTGCTACATTGTGAATACATGGAACGCATTTTCTCGTTAAACCGGGTCCGTAGGACATCTATCATTTTATCGATAGAACATTCTATCTAACCCTGACGTGACCCGGAATTGGCGACTTCACTGTATATTTCGATCAAAATTGAAATAGATCAAAGTGACATAACAGTCTTTATGTTTTGTATATAGGGTCCTAGTGCTAGAGGGTAATTTTTAGTACACAGCTTTATTTGCAATTTACTCTATATTTTAAGTGCCTGTCTGCCTTATCATCATCAAAAAAAAAAAACAAAGCTGAAAAAAGCAATCTCATTTCATTAAAAATTAAAAGCTATCATTTTCAAAAATATACAACAGATGAAGCACTGTAGTTCTAGGGAGGTTATTACTGAACCTCATCACTGTGATTAGGAGAAAATTCGGGCTGTCATTTTAGCCAACCAGAGAATCCCACGCAAGTGTCCCGATAAAATATCGATCAGTTTTTGACAAAAATTGACAATCTATTTAAAAATATTGCACAAATTAAAGATATCATACTCTACTAGAATGTGCACACCTATATATAATTTTAAATTCTTTATGAGAGAAAAGCGTCCACCTAAAGAAACTTATCGTGAACACGTACCGGATAGTGGTGGCTGCCATTTTCTTTGGACTAACAATTGGAAGTTGGTGGCATCGTTTCGAATTTTCCAAAAATGCTCAGTCACGAAAAATCTTTTGATAAGTATATCAAATTTTGATACCTTATTTTGGAAAATGTACGTAAGACTTTCATGAAATCAACACTGAACAAAAGCTACGAAAATAACAAAAGGGGTTGAAATGGTAAGGTGACGAAATATGCATATGCCTATTTTCTGTAATTCACCTTTTCTCTGATTTTTTATTATCTTATTTACTGAATTTTTGCATTTATTTTGAAATTAAGAATTGTTTAGTACGAATATATGATAAATAAAAAGATTTTAATACATAATGTTTAATATTCTAAAAATGATATGGGGAGTGAAAAGACTGTGGAAGAATTTCACTTCAACAAATCTGTATCCTGTCTGCGTTTGAAACCACGAATACAGGAAAAGAAGTTTAAAAACACAACGAAACAATGACACTTGTTGAATTCACGTTGTTGCAGAAGGTTATTTTGTCCGGTTATGCGTTTCGATGTTATTTTTAACCACTTTATTGTCACGAAGGTTTGCCACACGAATTGCAACACCAAAACTGGTTTGTATTCTCCAATATTCTGATAAATATATTCACTGACAAGTATGTTTAAATTGCAATAGATTAGCATGTTCGCCTCTCTGCTGATATTGCATCATTAGCCTCAGGGTTCTCATTAATTTTTACAGTAGGTGGAGAAATAGAAAAAGTAGGGGGCACTTCAGACTTGAGGACCGAAGGCCCGAACCGAGGGCCACCGGCCCGAGGGGGGTGAGTCCGAGAGGGGGGTATCCCCCCTTTCGGCAGTCTGCAGCTTTCTAACTAGATATATATACGCTGTATTCTCACAATTATAAAAAAAAAATATGCAAGTGTCATTGAAATCCATACAGAAAGTCACCCTTACAATTCTTCGTCAGAAAATAGTGATGCGCCTGTATTTTTATCCGTAGTTAGAATAATCTTACTGTGTCTCGGTCGGGACAAGGCCTCACCAAAGAATCGTTCCGAAACGAATTTTAAGTATACAAAGGGATTTGCACTGGAAATAACTTCAAAATTAATTACAACAAATTTTTTTGAGGTTGCATATGTCTTTAAACCTAAATTTTTAATCCAAATAAAGACGATAATTCAACTAATATTCTCAACGTTTTTTTTTCTGGCACGTACGCCATGATTGCTTTCCGAACTCTCTGGAATCTTTGTAGATGCACTGAGTTCGAGTTATCGTCCGTGTTTCGATCACGATTCCTGATATCACCACGTTTTTAAAAATAGGGGGTCGTAATCTTACAAGGAAAGCGTCAAATAACAACGATTTTTATATGTTTACGTTTTTTATTCACTACGTGAACAAGACAAACGGGATAACCAAAATTCTCTTCTGAACCACAGATTTTCTTTACTGATTTTTGAAAGTGAAATAACCGGCGCCAGTGTATAAGTAGACGGCGAAATCGCCGGTCGCCAGCACTTAATGAGAACCCTGTAGCCTGATTAGGTTTTATATGGTTAGTATATTGGTAACTACTTTATTCTATGAGAAAAGTAAAAAATATTTATTGAAATCTCAATCTGTGAAATGAGATTTCACATAAAATGAAGTACACTGTACATTATCATGTCCAGTCCAGAGACTATTTCTACCTACGTAGCAATTAATAGCTACCTAGGTATTTAAAGCTACCCAAAGTAGCTATTTTTACCTACTTTTTATAATTTCTGCATTTTGCCCAAACAGCACAACATGGTGATTACCATATCTTTTGATACAGCCACACTAATGATGAATACGACAAAATTTTGGCAAAAAAATGATTACTTCCTGAATCGGTAATTTTACATTAGTTTCAATGCAAATTTAAAAATATACGAAGTAATCATTTTTTGGACAAATTTTTGTCATATCCATCATCAGTGTGACTGTATCAAGAAATTTTGTGCTCACTGTGTTGCGCCGTTCCTGCATTTTGCTACAAAATGCAAGTAAAGCAGAAAGTAGGTAAAAATAGCTGGTACTTTGGGTAGGTTTAAATACCTAGTATGTAGCTATAAATAGCTATGTAGGTAGAAATAGTCTTTGGACTGGACCTGATTATTAAAGCCGCATGGCAGAGTTTGAAATGCACCTAAACAATTTGCCAGACATGCAGAACTGTCTGCTAGTAAAATATTTTCAGCCCTCCAAAAGATATACTACTAGCCTGAGAAAATAACTGTCTTTGGTTTATAAATTTGTCTTCATCAATTTAATATGTGACTTAAAAAAACATGGTCACCTTTAATTAGTAAGTATAATCTAGCCGTTAGAGTTATGCTGTTTATATATGTTTCAATCATTTTATAAATCTATTGCAGTTTGAAAACCACCAATGCTGCATATCTAGAAAATCCTTTATATCCCATTTACAAAAACACTGGAAAGGAGAATTAAAAATAATGAAGCTCCAAAGTCCAGTGTTAGATAACCTTATGACGCCAGAAATGAAGAAATTGAGTGATCTGTTCAAGAAATATAATTTTGAGTTGCGAATAGCAGGAGGGGCTGTTCGAGATGTCCTGTTGGACAAAGTGCCTCACGATATTGACTTTGCCACAACTGCCACCCCTACACAAATGAAAGAAATATTTACAAAAGAGGGCATCCGAATGGTTAACATGAATGGAGAAAAACATGGCACTATTACGGCAAGGATAGATGATAAGGTAATTTCCTTAATTTGATTTTGCATCCTTTGTATTGTAATTGGAATTTTCGGTTTATATTTTATGTTCACGCTACATACATGTATATTTTAAAAGGAGAATTTTGAAGTGACAACATTGAGAATTGATGTAGTGACGGACGGCCGAAGGGCAGAGGTTGCTTTCACCACTGACTGGCAGATTGATGCCAACAGAAGAGATCTTACAATTAATGCCATGTTTCTAGGTAATTCTTTATTTATCCACAAGCACAATATTTAAGAATTTGCTTGCATTGTGCTTCATCAGATTCTTCTTAAAGATTTTGTATCTCAGAGGGAAGAAATGTTCAGAGTGAGATATGCTTATCATATGTGTTACAAATTCAATTGATTTAAAAAAAAATCTTTTTAGATTTTCAGTGGAATTTGTATGACTACTTCAATGGTAGGGAGGATCTGGCCAATCGGAGGATCAGGTTTGTGGGGGACGCCACCGAGAGGATACAGGAGGATTACTTGAGAATTATGAGATACTTCAGGTATTTAATTTACTCAAAATTTTAAGATTCTTGACCAAACTTTTCTGCAATAAATCTTTTGATTTCTAATATTTAGTCAGATGAAGCAGAACAGACACTTGACTAACAGTCAGGGACATGATGGAATCAAGTTATTTTCTACTTTGACAAAAAAGTAACTCATTTGAGTTAATGCCTAAAAAGAAGAACACCTATTAGTTTTGCTAAAAAACATTAATATTTTGAGTTTGCTGCTGATTTAAGATGATTTAAGGCTAAGAAAATTGTAAATATATGTACTTCTTTCAATAGACTTAACAAACCTAATATCCTCTGAGCAGGTATGATGATATTAAGAAAATAACATGATAGATTTCAAGGAAAAATAATTCCATTTCATTAACATTTCAGAGGTCAATTACACATCTTCCGCCAATTTTGCCAACATTGAGACTAATTTTCCTATAATCTTAGGATATTACTGTACAATCTCTATGTCTTGCATTTTTTGTGCAAAGCTGTAGATTTTTGTGCAAGAGTTTTAAAGTGAGGTGGGTTAAGGATGAAATAATTGAAATAAGTTATAATTTGTTGGATTTCAATGTGTTAAATGTTAAAGATAGATTACTTTTACTGTCAGGAACCATCTACCAGTACTTAATAACCCAAGCACAGCATGACTAAATCCTTTCAGATGCCAGTAGGTTTACAATAATGAGTAGTAAAGTATCAATAACAGGAATAAGTTACTGAAGAAAAGCATAATCAGGGGAAGATAACCCAAAATGTTGACATTTAATAACTGAAACAAATTATTTCAAAAATAACTTGTTTCCATGATGCCCTTGACTGACTAATGCAAAAAACCGTAGCACGATTTTTTACTGAACCGTTGAATGCACTTTTCTCACATCCAGATTTTTTGGAAGAATAGCTGATTCAAACACTGTTCATGAAGAGGTAACTTTGGAGGCCATTAAGCAGAATGTACATGGATTAAAAAGTAAGTTTAGTATATTTGTATTTATTGTTATCTTAGTGTATTGATACTCTTTTTCACAGCAGTTTATAATTATCATAGCTACAGTTGTATTCAAACCTAATTTACATAAGATACAAATTAAAAAGAAAAAAAATATGCATCATCATCTTAAATTTTACTTGTGAACATGAACTAAAAAGGATTTCTTGTTTAATTTACCCTTCTTTACTGAGCAGATTTTGCTATTTATCTCAAAAAGACTAAGATTCAGATAACTATATGTCTAATTGTACCTCTTTCTATGATCAGCTATTTCTGGTGAACGCCTTTGGATGGAGTTCTCTAAGATTCTGACGGGGAATTATGCGGCCAGTCTGATGAGGACAATGGTATCCTGTGGGGTTCATACTTACTTAGGTACAGTATTGCATAGGCCCATACACTGAGTCTTATACTGTACATGTAGTTATAGCCTTCAGTTCACATTTTTACAATCTGTGATATTTAAAAGTACATTGTACAGTGATTACTATACATTTATTTCCTGATGTGTGAAAGCAGTTTTGGTAGCATTCTCCCAGCAGCACTAGGCAAACTTTAATATGAAAATAAAATATTTTCACCTTTATTCTTGTAAAAGGTTTACCTGAGAGTTGTAACCTGGAAGAGTTTGAGAGGGTGTGTGGGGTGACAGAGGAGAAAGGCTGCCACGTCATGACCAGACTTGTAGCTCTACTGTCCACAGACGATGAGGTAACTCAGTCCTCTATATCATACACAATCATTCACTAAGACTTCACAATCTAACAGTCTAATACTGTAAGTTTCTGCCACGTAATGACCAGACTCTCAGCTCTTCTGACCACAGATGATGAGGTAAACTCAGTCCTCTAAATCATACTTAATCATTCACTAAGACATCACAATCTAACAATCTAATACTGTAAGTTTCTGCCACGTCATGACCAGACTCGTGGCTCTACTGACTATAGATGATGAGGTAAACTCGGTTCTAAATATTTACATTTGTTGATGCCTTTCCCTATATAACATAATAATGAAAGTGAAATTCAATTTTCAATGACATGCAGTCAATCACATGATCTGTTTGTTCCTGCATATGGAAAGCAAACTGCACCAGCCATTTGGAAAGTTCAGATTGTGACATCAATTGACGTTGTAGAAACATTATGTTGCATTTCCATAACAAAGCCTAAATAGTGCCTATTTTTACTCATCACATGAATAAAAAATAAAATATATATATATGAAATAAGATATCATTGTTAGCTCACCTGAGCCAAGTGAGTTTTCTTATCAAAATTTGTCTGTTGTCTGTCGTTGTCATCATAAACTTTTCAATTTTTCATCTTCTCTTCAAGAACTACTGGGCAAATTTCAACCAAACTTGGCACAAAGTATTCTTTGGTGAAGGTGATTTAAGTTTGTTTAAATGAAGGTCACCAAGCCCTCTTCCAAGGGGAGAATATTAGAACTATTGTACCAGGAATTAAAAGATGAAACTCATGTGGAAGCATCCTCAGGTAGTGTAGATTCAATTTTTTTTCAAATCATGATCCCCGGGGGTAGGGCCGGCCACAATGGCTAATCATTATAGGGCTAGGTATTGGCTCGAGATTTCGTATTGCGATATATTGCGATATATTGCGATATTTTAAACTGTATTGCGATATGTATTACAATATTTTCAATGTAATAAAAATGGCATTTTCTTACTATATTTACTTTAATTTACATGCAGAAATGTACATAATTATGATAAGTAACCAACACGGAAAAAAAATCTTGGTGATTTCATTTAAGTTATGCTCTAAAATTTTCCCACAAAACAACTTCTGACTTACTGTTTGGCTTAATAACAAACTTTCATTAGTCCATTTTTATATTTAATGACAAAATTCCTTAATCTAAAGCCAAAAAAATAATAGTCTTTTTTCCTGCTACCAGCCTGAAAATAATAGGGTAGGTAGGTAGGAAAATTATTTTATTTTTTTAATTTATTTTATTTTTTCAAACGGTAATTTTTGGATATGAACTACTATGAAACAAAATTAAACTTGTCATAGCTAGGTCAAAATTGTCTTTTAAAATGAAATTCCATGTCTTTTGATGCACAACTCAAGTGGAATTTTATGAAAGTCCATATTTTAAACATATATTTCATGAAATACAATTTGAATATATATATTTTTTTCACTTTTGGAACAAAAAATTCCTGCAATTTCCAATTTTTTCCCCAAAAGCTTAAAAAACTTTAGGGTCGGGTGCAAAAAAATAGGGTAGGTCGGGTAGCCGGAAACAAGACTATTTTTATTTTTGGCCTAAGCATATTGCCAATATATCGATATTACAAAATCGTATTGCGATACGATATTTTTTGTCATTGTATTGCAATATATTGAAATATTGATATTATTGCCCAGCCCCACTAGTCAAAGTTTTAGGTAGAAATACGTAGGAAAAAATCTTTAAAAATCTTTTTCTCCAAATTCTTTGGGCCTGCAAAGATGAAACTCATGTGGAAGCATCCTCAGCTAATGTATATTCACGTTTATTCAAATCATGACCCCCAGGGGTAGGGCAGGGCCACAATGGCTGGCAAAAAAAACATAGGAATCCATGGGAAAATTCTTTTTAAAATCTTCTTCTCAAGATCAGCAAAGCTATGATTGATGATATTAATTTGGAAACATCCTCAGTTAGAGTTAAGTAATTCAAGTTTGTTCATATTATGACCCCTGGAGGTAAGGTAGGGGCCATAATGGGCAATCAAATCTTTGCATAGAAATATATAGGAAATTTTTTTTAAGTTCTTCTTCTCAAGTATGGCAAAATTATACATGTATACTGTATACAGGGAAATTTTCGCCCCCGTTTTATTTTCGCCCCTTTCGCCCTACCCTCATATGGGCGAATTTAAAATACAGTATAATTTCTTAAACATAACTATGACTGGGCGAATTTAAAATGCGGCAAAATTGTTTGCAAGTGTGAAAGGACGAAAATAACACGGCGAAAATAACACAGGGCGAAAATAACCCTGTATACAGTATTTTATTGATATAGTGACATTCTCAAGTAATAAAAAATTCAAATTCCCCCTCCCCAACTAGTAAACTTTTCAATACTGGGCTGATTTGTTTTTTTTTAAACTAGCCCGTGTGCTCAGGTGAGCGATGTGGTCCATGAGCCTCTTGTCTTGACCTTTTTGCACCTACACAGGATTTAATTATTAAATGACTGTTGGGGATAACTTTCAGATTTAGGATGCAAATAATTATTGAAAAATAGTATTTTTCTATTTAAAAAGATCATATTTGATAGGAAAATTGTAAACAAACACCAATCATTCAAAATATTCATTAATTCATATAATTATGAAAAAAGAATGCACATCATTTCATGATAGAAATCACAACATTTACACACAATCTTCGACACATCTTTGACTCGGATACATTTCATCAAGAAATTATTCTATTTAGTTGTCAACTGAAGATTTCGTAGGATTTTTGCATTCCCTCAAAATAGTTGCATACTATTCACATTAACACAATAAGTTGTATAATTTCAATACATTTTCAATTAAAGTTAAAGCCATACATGGCGTATGTACAATGAAAATTATTAGACTAAAATTTTAAGAACTTATTAAGGTCTTCCGTTTCAGACGGAAGACCTTATAGAGATTCTACTGTTTTTTCTTATTATTATTATTATTATTATTTTTTTCCCCAAATCTTGTCGGCAAGATTTCTCAGAGATGGCTGGACAGATTTTCAGGAAATTTTCAGGGATGATAGAGAACCTTAATACGCCCAGGAGTTTTTTTCATTTTTTAAAAATTCACTTCCGGTCGTCAGATATGTCCGATTTCCGCTTTTTTCTGAAATATTTTATCCCAGTGAGATCTAAGAAACGGTAAGAGATTAAGACACCAAACTTACAGGGATGTTAGATTTTGATAAGTAGGCATGTCCATTTGGGTTAAGATTGTCCGCCGTCACTTCCGGTCGTCACAGGAAGTGATCAAAGAAATCGAAAATTTCAACTTTTTAATTTTTGAAACTTTTTCTCATCACATTATTGCACCTAATTTGTAGTTTCGAAATATGTCAGTTCCACAGGAAACAAAAACGACAACTTCCGGTTTTAAGAGAAAAACTGCATATTTTCAGTATTTTTCTTTCCCATAAATATTTTTTATAGATAAAGTATTTGTAATGATTTTTGGATATGTTATTCAGATTGCAAATGACTACAGTAACGTCAAATAGCTTTGTAAAATTCACTTCCGGTTGCGTGATATTCTGTCCTCAAAATGAGAAGTTATCATGGCTAGATCTCGTAAACGATAAGAGATTAAGACACCAAACTTATATAAATGGTAGATCATGATAAGTAGGCAAAATCAGTCGGGATAAGATCGTCCGCCGTCACTTCCGTTCGTCACAGGAAGTGATCCAAAAAATTAAATTTTTTAATTTTTCTTTCATGAAACATTTTTTGCATCACATTATAACATCTTTTTTGTATTTTTGAAGTGTATCAGTCCCACTGGAAACTAAAACGACAACTTCCGGTTATAAGAGAAAAAACTACATAATTTGAGTATTTTTCCTTCCCATAAATATTTTTATACATAGAGTATTTGTAATGATTTTTAGATATGTCATAAAGACAGCTTATGTCTACAGTAACGTCAAATATCTTTGAAAAATTCACTTCCGGTCGTGTGATTTTCTGTCCTCAATAGAAGTTATCATGAAGAGATCTCGGAAACGGTAAGAGATGGAGACGCCAAACTTTTATGAGTAATAGATCTTGATAAGTAGGCAAAAGAATTTGGGTTAACACAGTTTGCCGTTACTTCCGGTCGTCACAGGAAGTGATCAAAGAAATCGAAAATTCAACTTTTCTTTTTTGAAACTTGTTTTGCAGCACAAAATAGTATCTTTTTTGTGGTTTCGAAATATGTCAGTCCCACCGGAAACAAAAAACGACAACTTCCGGTTATAAGAGAAAAACTGCTTATTTTCAGTATTTTTCTTTCCCATAAATGTTTTTTTATAGATAAAGTATCTGTAATGATTTTTGGATATGTTATTCAGAATGCAAATGACTATATTAACGTCAAATATCTTTGTAAAATTCACTTCAGGTCGCAAAATTTCCTGTCCTCAAAATGAGAAGTTATCATAGCTAGATCTCGTAAACGGTAAGAGATTAAGACACCAAACTTAAATAAGTGGTAGATCTTGATAAGTAGGCAAATTCAATTGGGATAAGACCATCAGCCGTTACTTCCGGTCGTCACAGGAAGTGATCTAAGAAATCGAAAATTTTTACTTTTCTTTAATGAAACGTTTTTTGCATCACATTATAGAATTTTATTTGTAGTTTCAAAATATATTAGTCTTACCGGAAATAACAACGACAACTTCCGGTTATAAGAGAAAAACTACATAATTTGAGTATTTTCTTTTTATAGATAAAGTATTTGACTGATTTTTGAATATGTTATGCAGACTGCAAACGTCTACAGTAATGTATAATATCTCGGTAAAATACACTTCCGGTCGCATGATTTTCTGTCCTAAAAATCAGAAGTTATCATAGCTAAATCTCGTAAACAGTAAAAGATTAAGACACCAAACTTATATGAGTAATAGATCTTGATTAGTAGGAAAAACCATTTGGGGTAAGATTGTCTGCCGTCACTTCCGGTCGTCATAGGAAGTGATCAAAGAAATCGAAAAAATCAACTTTTCTTTTTTGAAACCTGTTTTGCATCACATTATAGCATCTTATTTGAAGTTTCGAAATGTGTCAGTCCCAACGGAAACAAAAATGACAACTTCCGGTTAAAAGAGAAAAACTACATAATTTGAGTATCTTTCTTTCCCTTAAAATTTTGTATAGTTAAAGTATTTGTAATGATTTTTAGAAATGTTATTCAGACTGCAAATGTCTACAGTAAAGTCTAATATCTCAGTAAAATTCACTTCCGGTCGCGTGACTTCCTGTCTTCAAAATCAGAAGTTATCATAGCAAGATCTCGTTAACGGTTAGAGATTAAGACACCAAATTAGTAGGGATGGTAGACCTTGATGAGTAGACATATCCTTTGAGTTTAAGATCGTCCGCCGTCACTTCCGGTTGTCACAGGAAGTTGTCAAATAAATCGAAAATTTCAACTTTTCTTTATAGAATCTTTCTAAGTAAAACATTATGGCATCTTTTTTTTGTAGTTTTGAAATATGTCAGTCCCACTGGAAACAGAAACGACAACTTCCGCTTATGAGAGAAAAACTGCATAAATTTAGTATCATACTATCCCATAAATATTTTTTTTTATAAAAATAGCATTTAAAATGATTTTTGGACGTGTTGTTCAGATTGACATGTCTAGAGTAACCTCAAATATCTTTTCAAAAATGTACTTCCGGTCATGTGATTTCTTCTCCTCAAAATGAGAAGATAATATTACGAGATCTCTTACATGTAAACTGTAACAGATCAAGACACTTAACTTATATGAATAATAAACCATGAAGATTGGGCAACAGATATAGGGTAAAATGCGTCCCCCGTTACTTCCGGTCGTCACAGAAATTGATGAAAAAAAATTGAAAATGATTTTTGTAAATGTTATTAAGACTATAATTGTAAAACGTAACGTCGAGAATCTTGGAAAGTTAAACCTCCGGTCGTTTGTTTTCCTGAAAGCATTTAAAATATTATATGCCTTTTTAAACATAGATAAAAGCTCATTCATGCAGATAAATAGAGGAGAACGGAAGACCTTCTTTGTTGCTGTAGCAACAAGAGTTTCTAGTTATTTGTATCATTACTTTATATATAAAGATAGAACTTTTCCGTAAATTACAAAATCTTAGTCAATTGCGTTATAAAGATATCACAATTTAATTTGGATTCTCGGAATTTTCTCCGACTCGGAAGAAAATACAAAATATTTAAAAAACACATTACAAAGAAGATAAAATCGTATTATTAGATGAAACGAGGTGTTCTCCGCGTTCAGAATTGTATGAATACTTTAATTTTTATGTATTAACTATATTTCTTTACTTAATTTTGTATTTTTTAAAAATATATTTTTTTTATCAGTTACGCCATATATGGCTTTAAGGTCTAGTAAATAAAAGGCACCTACAAGTTCCTCCAATTAAGAATTGTATGAAGTCATTTTGCTTTAGAAACCAAAATATATAAATTGAATATACCGTCTATCCCTTTTTTTTCGCGATGATCTATTTTTTGCAACCATTTTTAATTTGCAAAATATAAAACATGCAGAAATTATGTTAGCTATAATGTGACATAAAAACATTACCATTTTAAACAAAAAAATCTTTGATTGTAAAAAATAACTTACACAAAATAAAAACTATATTACAATTTACCCCCTTTTCGCAAAATTTCCAACACGTGAAATAAAACCGGATATACAGTAGGTACATATGAAGAATATTTTGTCATAATTTTAAATTGTATTCCATGAATTTCGGAATACTTTATTTTCTACAATTTTTATTGAAACTGTAAAGTACATGAAGAGTAACAAACTAATTATGACATCATAATGGATCTAGCACAGACTAAACACATTCACTGGATATGATGTCATAGTTCTATGTTAAAGGTGCAGGCTTAATTGTAGTTTAATGAAGTTTGGACATAAAGCACCTATAACCTGTAACTTGCAGCTTAATGGTGGCTTAAAGGAATTAAGTTCTATAAGCCACAGTTAAGCAATTGCTTAAAGGTGGTCTTTTGTCCTGTGACTTTTAAGAAAAATGAATATATGGTACAACTATAACTCAGGTGACCTATTGCTATCCCTTTTCGTCCGTCATCGTTCGTCGTACGTGCGTTAACATTTGAACATTTTCAGCTTCTTCTCTGAAACCACTGAACCAATTTCAACCAAATTTGGCATATAGCATCTATGGGTAAAGGGGAACAAAAATTGTGAATTTCATGGTCCCTGTCCCCCTGGGGCCTGGGGGGTGGGGCAAAAACCACTAAAATTAGTGCAATCTTTAAAAATTTTCTTCTTTACTCCTGGACATCAACCAGTCAAACTGTTTGCATGATTGTAATCAGCCTTGAGTCCTCTACCAAAATTGTGAAATTCATGGCCCCGGGGTCATGGGTTCTAGTGCTAGGGCGGGGCTAAATAAGTATATAGTGATAATTCATTATTTCTTTGAAAATCTTCTTCTCTGCTCCTGGGTATTAAATAAACTAACTAAGTGCATAGTTATGATGAGCAAGAGTGCCTCTACCAAAATTGTGAGATTTGTAGCCCCAGAGTCATGGGTTCTGGTGTTAGGGCGGGGCTCTATAGATTATATAGTGAAATTACATGAATTTTTTGAAATCTTCTTCTCTGCTCTGGGTATTAAATAAACTAACTAAGTGCATAGTTATGATGAACAAGAGTGAATCTACCAAAATTGTGAATTTTATGGCCCCAGGGTCAGGGGTTCTGGTGTAAAGGAGGGGGGGGGGGCTCTATAGATTATATAGTGAAAATACATGAATTCTTTGAAAATCTTCTTCTCTGCTCCTGGGTATTAAATAAACTAACTAAGTGCATAGTTATGACGAGCAAGAGTGCCTCTACCAAAATTGTAAATTTTATGGCCCCAGGGTCAGGGGTTCTGGTGTAAAGGGGGGGGGGGGGGGGGGCTCTATAGATTATATAGTGAAAATACATGAATTCTTTGAAAATCTTCTTCTCTGTTCCTGGGTATTAAATAAACTAAATAAGTGCATAGTTATGATGAGCAAGAGTGCCTCTACCAAAATTGTGAATTTCATGGCCCCAGGGTCAGGGGTTCTGGTGTTAGGGTGGGGCTCTATAGACTATATAGTGAAATTACATGAATTCTTTGAAGATCTTCTTCTCTGCTCTGAGGAATGAAATAAACTAATTACATAGTTATGATGAGCAAGAATACCTCTTCCAAAGTTGTGAATTTTATGGCCCTAGGGTCAGGGGTTCTAGTGATAGGGCGGGGCTCTATTGATTATATAGTGAAAATACATTAAATCTTTGAAAGTTTTCTTCTCTGCTCCTTGGTATTAAACAGATGAACTACCTATATAGTTATGATGAGCAAGGGTTCTAATCTTCCAGAATTGTGAATTTCAAGGCCCCAGGGTCAGGGATACCATAAAGGATGGGGGGGGGGGGCTGTACTTATATACTGAAACTGGATGAATTGTTTGAGATATACTCCTTGGTATTAATCAAATATTTTTGAAAAGCAAGGGTGCCTTTTCAAAAATTGTGCAATTTGTGGATCTAGGCCTAAGGGTCAGGGGTTCATGTGTGATTGGGGCATTACTGATCATGCTGAATATTACTGATTACTTGAAATGCATTATTTTGTTCCCCTACCCTGCCTATGGGTATTAAGTAAACACACTAAGCAACTGCTAAGTGTATTGTTATGATGATCAATGGTGCCTCTTTCAAAATTGTGAATGCCATAGCATCTGGATTAAAACATGAATCAAATTCAATCACTGGAAAGTTGTTGCGTAATGCTCAGGTGACCTATAAGGCCCATGGGCCTCTTGTTTCTATAATTGACAAGACAAGATAGTCTGAAAGCTAGGAACCACATATCACTCATTTTTGCTTGTTCCTCATACATTCTTCCTGTATTTTCTGTACTAAACAAGACCCATAAAAACAGAAAAAAAAGAAAAAGAAAATTTGTATGTTTTGACTTTTGATTTTATAAAAGGTGAATAAAAAACAAAATCAAAATCAAAATAAAGTTCTTAAAGTGTTATTAATCAAAGTATTGTTCAGACATTGAATATAATTTAGTGCTTGATTTTTTTTCATAGATCATTTCCTTGTTTTTTTTGTTTCTAAATTATGCTACCAATGTAGATATTTACAGATAAAAGTTCACACAATGGACTAATATAAAAAAGTTTGGTATAATTTTAAATCTATACAATCTTGGATTTCACCAAAGATATTTGATTTTCTTCACTTGTTTATTTCTCTCTTGAGCAACAAACAGATTATCATTTGTATCTATACACAGTCCCCAGGGATACCTCAGTCCACAGTTTATGTAACGGAGGAACTGTCCATCCTGGTCTATGATGTTGACACATTCATTGTTGTAATCAGCTGTAAGGATGTGACTCTGACTGTCTTTTGTGATTCCTTGTGGATAGAATAGTTTGTTCTTTGGAGCAGGAGTATGCCCAGTGTACCTGAATCTCAGTTTCCCGGCCTGATTGACCACCACTACTGCATTAGCTCTCTCATCAGACACACAGATATCCAGGTTCCTGTTCTCAGTAATGTATCTTAGTATATAAAAACTAGGTGAATAGAGAGGTTTACCTTTATCATCAAACTGAATGGTTTGTTTCTCTGTAGAGCCAGAGTAACAGACAACTTTTGATTGTTTGTAATCATCAGTGTCCATGATAACCAGGAGGTCACCAGAGGAGGTACTACAGACACCTTTAGGTTTCCAGTTCTGTAATCTGATCACCTCCTCTATCTTCTCATTCTTCACAATGTTCACAGTTCTATCACTGTTATCAGTATAAACTAGATGTTCACTTTTTGTCACTATTATGTTAGATGGACAGTTCCCTGACTTGGTTTTAATTGACTTGAGTAGTGATCCCTGATTGATGCTGTAGAGTCTCATGGTTCTGTCATATCCACTTGTCCAGATTTCTTCATCACTCAGACAGGCCACATTGTAAAGGTTTCCATACCCAGTGTCTATGGTGGTGACAGTCTCTGCTTCATCAAGCAGTTGTTTGACTGGAGGAGAGGATCCAGCTTCTGGTGATTTCTGTGTTGTCTTCATGCTGTAGCCATGTTTATCTGATGTTAAAGAACTTGATGATAAGGCTCCAAACATTTTACTTACTTCTTGGATTTTTCCTGGAATGAATTTAGGTAAAGATGGTATAATTTTGTCTGGAAGATCTCTGTATGTGTGTACATTGGATATGATACTAAACAATTTTGACATATCATTGGTGTCTATTGCAGTTTCCATTGAATCAATTTCATCCTTGATGTCAGACTTTGTCTTGTTTATTTCATCCAGATGTTTCTGTAGAGTTTGTAACTGTGTGTTTTTAATCGCATCAACTTCAGCTTTAAGTTTCTTGACAAGTTTGTCAATTTCTTTGTGCCATTCCTCTCCATGTTTTGTTATGGCTGTTGAGAGATCTCCATATTCCTTTTCAAACTGACTCATTCTGTTTTGTACTTCAGATGCGATGTCCTGGTAGGTGGGATAAATTGTCTCATTTAATTCAGTTTGTTCTTTTATGAGTTTATTCTTTTTTTCATCCACAACTTTCAAGATTTCTGATACCTTATGACCTAGATGTTGATCAGATGCAATGCACTTATGGCAGACAGGAATGTCACATTGGTTACAGTACATTTTACATCGTTCTTTGTCATGGAATTTACAACCAGGGTAAAGGAGAGTGGATTTTCTATCTTTGAAGTCCACAATTTTATGAGGTTTTGAGAGATCAGCAGAGAAGTGTTCTCCCACACAGGCCTTACACAGGTTGACAAGACATGTATCACAGTGCATGTGTACCACAGCGGTCTCACACAGCTCACATCGCATCACATCCTGGGCACTGGTACGGGGGTCCATGATTAAATTTTGTGACTCTGAAATATAAATATATAATGAACATATGTTAAAATCTCATTATTCCAACTTGACATCAATAAAAACAAGATTTTTTTTCAATCTCTTACCATAGGAGTGCATGCTACACAAGCTAGATTGTAGAATACAGAATCAAACAATCATTACAAGTCAGTTTTAAAGATAAGACATTTAATACCTGATGTTAAAACAGTAATGGCTGCCGTCTCTCTCTGTTACATGTATAGGAATTCAGGTCACATGACTTACCTGTGTTAGCTACCTGTCAGGTATTTACACTTCCTGGTCTGTAGTCCGGATTTAAATTTAATGGCTTACTGCATACTTCTTAGTGTTTTATAATGGAGACCATAAAAATCATAAAATTCATTTTTTAAAAAAAGACAAGCATTCATACCCCAACCTTTAACCCCTAACCTCACTACCTTAGAAAATAAATAAACTAAAGCAGTAGCAACAAAATCTCTAGATCTCAGGAATTTTTATAAGACAAATTTAACAACATAACACTTTGGAGTTCTAGGACACCTATTAAATAACTCAAGTACTGGAGAACATAATTATGCAATTTTTGAAGTTCGTCTAAGCTGAAAGCTCAAATGAACTTTTTGGATCACAATTTGTCCAGAGTCCATCTGTCAATTTTTCTGTCTGTTTGTTTTTTAGACATTATGAACTTTTTACTTAGAAATACAGGGCCAGTTTCAATTGGTGGTCTTGAGTACTATTACATGGATTACTTTTGATTGTCTTATTTACTGGAATACACAAGCTAAATTCATTTTTGGAAAACATGAAAATCATCTAAGATCACATAGTGTCCTTCATGTTCCTATACGAAAAAAAGAAAATTATAACCTACACAGAATTGATCTTTCACCCCAGCCTTTTTCATTACCTACATTGTTTAATGTCCCTTTTGAGAATTTTTACTCATATTGAGACGCTTGCTGGTGGAGGGCTACAAATTCTGTCCTACACTCAATACTTAGAGCTATTTAGCATTGAAGGATCCTTTTCATGCCTGCACCTACTGCAACATGGAACCTAGGTTTATACCTATCTCATCCGAAGGACCAGCCTGTTGTCCCACAGTGGGTTCAACTCCTTACTCCATGACTCTTAGAGCACTGCGACAAGCAGACCAATGATATTGTAGTAAATGAAACAATGTTCAAAGTGAGCTTTTCTGATCGCATTTAGTATGTAGTTCATCTGTCTGTGTAGCTTTCCATCCGTCTGTCTGTAAACTTTTCACATTTTCGACTTCTTCTTCAGAACCATGGGGCCAATTTCAACTAAACTTGGCACAGAGCATCCTTGGCTCAAGGGGATTTATGTTTGTACAAATGAATGGCCATGCCCTCTTGCAAGAAGAGATAATCAGAAATTAGTGCAAAATTAATGGCATTTTTAAAAATCTTCTCAAGAACCACTAGGTCTGGAAAGATGAAACTCATGTTGAAGCATCCTCAGATTAGTGAAGATCGAAGTATGTTCAAATCATGACCCCTGGAGATGTATGGGGTCACAATGGGTGATAAATGTTTTACATAGAAATATATAGTGTAAAATTCTTTAAAAATCTTCTAAGATACAGCAAAGCAGTGATTGGTCATATTTATATAGAAGCATCCACAGGTAGTAAAATATGTAAATTTGTTCAAATCATACCCTCCGGGGTTAGGGTTGGGCCACAATGGAGGATCAAAGTTTTACAGAGGCGACTAAATGGGGCGGTCCTTCGGATGAGACTGTATAAACTGTGGCCCCATGTGGCACGATAAAGATCCCTCCCTGCTAAAAGGCCGTAAGTGCCGAGCAAAGGTCTAAATTTGCAGCCCTTCACCGGCAATGGTGACGTCTCCATATCAGTGAAATAAGAGGGCCATTAAACGGTATACAATCAATCAATCAAATTAAAGATGGCTAGATTATTGTATTGACCTTAAAAAAACAGCAGTTATAATTGTTTTAATTTATGATTCATTGATAAAATGATACAGCTCATTACTTGTATGCATTTAATTAAGTTCTAGCTAAATACAATAGAGAAGCAGAATGAAAATGTAAAGGCCCTTTCACAATTGGCGCACGAGCACTTTACAACACTTTGCTATCGGAAACTTTTATCGTCGCACGAGCTATCGCCGAGCTCTCGCATACGTTGCACGATGTTTCGCATTCGTTGCATGCATTTTAGTGGTCGAATCAAGTCTCCTCAAAATAGTCAACATGCACACTATTCAGACGTGACTAAATGTGATCCACATTTATCGCAAATCAACGCACGAATATTCGTACGAGCGTCATACGTTTTGTGTACTCACAAGAGTGATGCACGATTTTTAAAGGTCGTACATGTAAGATGAATTGCAGCTGTATATGCGTGTATTGTGCGACCATGAGACTGTTGCTCAATGTGTCTCATGTAACCTTGCAACGTTTTACTGTGCATGATTTATCAGCTTCAATTTCCCATTCTTTGCGAATTGCCACTAGAATATGTAAACCCTGTCCTCATCCTCACTGTACCCATCAGGTTCTAAAGGCTCACCTGACTGGTCTGGTGGCTCTGCCCCTTTGTCGAAAAGCTCAGGCGGATTATGAACAGGGCTGGGCAGGTCCTGTGCCCCTTCCTCCTCCAGGGCCTTCTTTCTACGGTTTACCTTTGCTTTACCTGTAGCTTTTGTCATCTTTTTGGCCGGCATCTCTTGCATTCGACTGACGAGGGTCTGAAACGGTTGGTATATATAAATTCCCCTTCTCACTTGCACGATCATTCGTACCATGAAACACATGATTGCACGAGCACCTTACGTCTAATTGCATTGGTGCACATTAACTCGTCCGATTACCTGATTACTCGTGCGATCCTTTAGCGTTATCTTACAACACTTGCTTTCATTGCACAACAGTCGCCTATAGACTCAAGATATATCGTAAGATTTGATGCACAAGGGTCGCTTTAGATCGTGCGAATTTCGTACGACTACTTTTTCATATGCGATTATTTCAGCAACACTTTACAATCCAAATCAAAGTTTTTCGGTCGCACGAATATTTTGTCGCTTCTGTTCGTGCGCCAATTGTGAAAGGCCCTTAAATAAAAATAAATTTTTTTCTATTTTAGTTGCCATGAAAAAAGATATAATTTCAGTCTTTTTTATGCTCCCGTAAACGAAGTTTTGGGGGTATATAGTTTTTGTTGTGTCCGTCTCTCTGTCTCTCTGTCTGTCTGTCTGTCTTTAAGTGGGCCAATGTTAAAGTTTTTCAATAATATGTACAAAAATCTCCAAGGTCAAAGTTAAAAGGTCAAAGTAATTGGTATCCAATGAAAGGTCTTGCCATATAGAATACTTATGTAGAGTATGGAAGCCGTAGGCCTTACCCCGTTCATAAGTTATGGCCAAGTTTAAAATTTTTAAAAGTAGGTCAAACTTTAAGGTCAAAGTCAAAGGGTCAATGTTCTTGTTATCAAATGAAATGTTTTGTCACAAGGATTTAATATGTGAAGTATGAAAGCACTAGCTTTAACCCTTTAAAAGTTAAAGTCAAGGTTTTCCTTTTTTAAAGTAGGTCAAACTCAAAGGTCAAGGTCAAAGGGTCAAAATGCTTGGTATCCAATGAAGGGTCTTCTCACAAGGATTACTAATATGAAGTATGAAAGCCCTATCTCTTACCATTCAAAAGTTATGGCCAAGGTTAAAGTTTTTTCACAGGTACGGAAATCTACAAGTCAAGGTCAAAGGGTCAAGGTTGTTGGTATCCAACGAAAGGTCTTTCAACAAAGAATACATATGTGAAGTATATAGATGTCCTGGCCCCGAGATCATGAAGCATCTTAAGCTTAAGTCAAAATCTTTCTGTTGTTTTAACATGATGTTGAAGTCAAACAGGCCAAAATCAAACTGTTTCCCAATATTGTTTTACAAATGTGTTGTTATTTATAAAATTAGAAAACTATTCAATAAATAATGAATATTTTACAGTAGATTGAAAATTTGACTTAAGTCTAAGATTGTTTGATGATCCTTGTGCCTGGTGTCCACTGTTCAAAAGATATGGCCAAAGTAAAGTTTAAAATTTTCATGTTAAAGTGGGTCAGACTCCAAGGTCAAGGTCAAATTTAGTGGTATCCAAAGAAAGGTCTTGTCACAAGAAATACACATGTGAAATATGAAAGTTATGGCTCCACTAAATCAAAAGTTATGGGCAAGGTCAAAGTTTTTGCGGACAAACAGAGAGACAGACATGACAGACACGGCAAAGACTATATACCCCGAAACTTTATTTACAGGGGCATAAAAAACTTCTTCTTGACATAAGCTATGTTTATTCATACTGATATGAAAGTTTCCTCAGTTAGTGTAAATTCAAGGTTCAAATGATGACCTCTGGGGTAGGGAGGAACCACATTGGGGGATCTAATTTTTTTAAAGGAACATATAGGATCTACTCAAAAACAAAGCCATTTGTTATATTGACACAGAGGCATCATCAGGTAGTGAAATATTCAAGTCACAAGTCTACCCCCCCCCTTTTTCTTGATTTGTGCTTTTGCATAGCCAATGTGCTCATGTGAGCAATATGGCCCATGGGCCTCTTGTTTAGAGTTTCATTGGGAATGACATGACGTCAATACGTGATCAAATATACTATAACGCTTTGGGCATTTTAGAATTTGAGCACGTGACTGACTGATTCATGTCATATCCCAATGAAACTCTAAAAGTGATATCTTATTTCTTAAATATCATACACAATCATTGACTAAGACATCAAATTCTTATGCTAGGTCATCATAATCATACTGTAAATTACCGCCATGTCATGATAAGAATCACGGCTCTACTGACCACAGATGACAAGGCAAACTGTATCACAAAGTACCTATCTTAATACAGTCCACTTAATCTGATAGCAGCTAAACTGAAAATTCTATTACAATAAAATGTTTATCTGTTGTCAAATTACATAATCTTTAATTACTAGAGACAATTCACATCTACGGGCAACTGAATTTGAATCTGTTTTTACTTGAATATTTGTTTCAAAATTTTTTTTTTTGATAAGTTCTGTTTTCTTTAAATTTGATTTGGTTGATTTATTCTTTGTAGCTGTATGATTTGGACAAAAGAATCAAGTTTTCCAATGAGGAGTTTGCTGCTGGAATTTTCATAATTCACAACAGAGACACGCCAATGGGGGAAGATAAAATGAAATTCTGTCAATACCTGCTAGTCGATTCTACAGGTAAACAAAAAGTTACATTTGACCACATCTGTGAACTTTTGAAATATAAAAACGAAACGGATTTACTGGAAGAATTCCGCCAGTGGACACCACCAGTTTTACCCGTTAGTGGAAATGACTTGGTATCGGCTAATATTCCGAAGGGACCATTATTTAAACGGACATTAGATGAAGTGAGACAGGTCTGGAAGCTGAGTGACTTTAGTTTGACTAGAGAGGAACTTCTGGAGAGGGTGCCTCAGATTCTAGAGAATGTGAAGTCAACTCCAAGAAAACAGAGCCCCAAACCGAAACGGAAAAGAAAAGCGTGATAAATAAGTGGTGTAAAATTTTCTCCAAGAGTTATCTTTCTTTGGCCAGTTTTAAAACTGAATGTATGGAAGTGTGTTTCAGAACTGCTGATATACACGAATATGAACTTGTTGATTTTTTTTTTTAATAGAACATTTATTAACAAAGTATGTGATTATTTAATGAATGAAAGTGGGTTGAATGCCCGGCTGATCATCTAATGGCAGACAAGATAACTTTTCTTTCTAAATACATTTCTACATGGTATAGGATTCAACAACTGCTATAATAATTTTCAAGCATCAAAATTCAAGTAAATGTACAATACACATCTGTGATGTATGCATGTATATGATTGATTTGGAAAATAAACACGTCTTGAAAACTGTAAGAGGAAATCCAAATGATGCACTATGTAAGCAGTATTTGGAATGAAAATTAACTTGTATTTTTCTAATCATTCATCAGATGTAAAACTCCAAATATCAAGAACAATAGCTGCAGTATTGAAGCCCTCTCCGATTATTTTTTGTCCGATATTTTTGGAGTCCCCCAAAAAGGAGAGGGCTACATAATTGCAGCTACATTTCTACATTTACAATGATTCTGTTGAGGAAAAAACCTCATATTCTAAATATCTAAATCCTTGTTGACAGCCCCCGCCCCCTGAGTATTTTTATAACAAGATTTTTTTTTCAATAGAAATTTAATCTTTTATTTCCAAACGCATGTGCAAACTTTTTCGACCTCTTTGATGAAAAGGTTATAAAGAAGATAAATATGTATGTTTTGTTTTTTTTCTCAGAAGCCTTGAGTTGGATTAAAAAAATCCAAATGAAATAGATGTCAACGAAAGTTAGACTAACTAAAGTGTAAGCTTTTTCCACGAAGCAGGTAGCAATATAGTCATGTAAGATATTTTAGGTTTAATATTGAAATTTTAGATAGAATGCAAGTTTTCTTTATTCTGTGTTCTGTGGAGGAAATAAGGAAAAGAGAATCAGATTTAAATTAGACCAAGAGGAAAAAATGTTAACTGTAATTTGATTGATACCCTATATTCCAGTTTTTGCTATTTCCAAGCTCGGGTGTTCTGTATTCTATTTTAAATATCCGATCATTCTGATACTGAAATAAAAAATATTACAAAATAATTATAATAAAAAGAGTAACATGCAGTCCTAATTACGCAAAAAATTTGTAAAATTGAATTTTGAAATTTTTATCACATTTGATACGTATTCTGATAAAATTAAAAAAATTCTCTTCTCCTCACACATAAAGGGGAATTTTTGATAATCTACCACTATGATGAAGATGTCAAATATTGACAAGAGATAACAATTAAATGGCTATTAAACAGACACGTCTCTAACAATAAACCCTAAATAGTCATGGTGGATAAATTACCCTTTAATAACCTCCATGTGAATATTAAAATTCGCATAGTGCGCCGGAATAGTATATCATGTGACAATAAAAAAAGATCACGGATTGGGTCATCCGAACTACGACGCTACACGGGTGTTATCAGGGGGTCCTTAATGTCTTTAATGCCATTTATCAGTTCATAATCGTCGCTAAATCCATCTCTCTGATTTACATTTCACACCAACTTTTCTAGGAATGTGCTGGTCGTTTGATAACGGTCCATACGGCACTCGCGCGAGTTGACAATTAAATATTGACCCGCATGATCGCGCTCGCGCTGTCAGGGGGACTAGATACAGCACGTGCACACAGGTAGATGCACGTGTGCCGAATCAGGCCGGTCATTACGACAGGGTCGTTAATAAGTGATTTGAAATTATTTGTCTCAATTTTATGGCACTTTGTGTTTAATAAAGCAAGGCTTTTATTGTTCGTGTTGTTAATCATTAAAATCAAGTCTTTAATTAACGCTTTGGAATTGTATCATTTTTTTCTCAAGGAAAATGTTCCATGTTATTTAGTAACTTTCCAAAGTTTGTCTTCAAGCGTGCATTTTCCGACATTGTACATACAGCAGAAATTCCCTCTCTATACAAAGTTGAAATGTTTAGCAAATACATTAGTGAATACTAGCAAAAAGGTCTAAATTATGCGTGCATGTGGGTAATTTTTCAGTATACATGTATATGCACTGTGTGGAAATGATTAATACTTCGATTGTCATTTATTTGGTTGATTTTAGGTGTTTTCTTTTCTCAAACCCCAATTTATAAGAGAGAAGAGAAGAAATCTTAACGATAAATCAAGATCATGAGATTATATTAAATTGCAAAGTTAACAGCAAAGTATTGTCTTTTATTAATTTTCAAACTAATGTTAGTTCAAATCACTGTATTTGAATAACAAGATGACACAACAATAAAGTACCAAATGATGAGCCCATCATTTTATGTCAGTAAAGAGGTTAGTTTAGCTATGAAAAGTTCACTTTATAACAGTTAAAATGTATAATCTTTCGAGGTAAAATCAGCTCATTTTATGTCAATAACAAAGTATCATATCAAGAATTGAGAGTAAGTAAATTAAGTAACATATAGATAAGCCAAAAGCAGGTCACTTAAGGATGAATAAAAACAAACGAAATTTTTCTTAGAAATCAGCAATATTTCTCAAAGATTTATATTTCAGTTGGAAACCTGAATAATCTTTCCCAGGTATTGTGGGAAAGTTTTATATGATTAACAAGTTGTGCAAAATTTTACATAGATTTATATAGAAAGCGACACAAAATCATATTTAAGTACCGTCCAAAGAAAACCTACTATTTCTTGATATGTTTGGGATTTATTATCATGCCAATTCAAATAAAAAAAAGTATAAAAAAAAAATATAGTACAATCATTGCAATCCATGCATCAAGTTTTTTACTGTGTATAGCCTATTTTCTTATAAAGCCTATAAGGTATCAAAAATAGGAAGAAAGTATAATACATACATGTATACGAAGACTTTAATCAATGAAATGTCAAAGAACCATTTGATGAATTGATAGTAGTTGATTTTTTAAATAAAAATTAACTAAGTAACATTTAATGAACTGAAAGTTTCTATAGAAACTTAAAGTTTCACATATTTATCAGGACTCTGAAAGCACTCCAGTTTATGTACATGTACCCAAATCAGTCTTGTCTTTCGATAAAAATAAGCAAAAAGTAACTCTTGTCTGTCGAGAACCCAGTTCTATATGCTGTAAATAATGTTAGTAGAACGCATTCTATTCATCCTTCTAAAAATTTCACTCATCAATAAAGATTTCAATCCTTTTCAATCTTTCATATACCCTATGTAGTGTAGTCGTTTGACAAAAATTCAACAATATTTTGCAGAAAAGTCTTTCGACATAAAATAACAATTGGATTATTAATTAAGAATTCGTCTAAAAGAGAACAATCATATCTCAAAATGTGAATAAAAATGATCCATCCAATGTTTTTCAACATTTTTTAAAAAGAAAAATGAATAAGATGAAAATATCATAGTTTTAACCTTTTTTCAATAAAATAATGTAAAACAAAGTATTGACTTTGCACTGTAGCGCAGTGCAGTTAAATTCGTAAGATAAACAGCTATAATTTTCTTGCAAAACAAAAATAAAATCCACTCGTTAGTCAAAGAGGACTGTTCCTTTCTTATGGATGTTTCCCGTCTACCCAAACTAGCTGTTCTAAAAAAAAACTCAGAAATTGGTAACTTTGCAAAATGACATACATAAATACTAATTGTTAATTTTGAATCGTATCAAAGTTAATAAATAATTAAATATTACAGTGTATTATTTTTGTAAGCCTATACCCTCTATATGTACAAAAAGCAAATTAGCCGAATTAGACTTGTAATCGTAATCATCTCAGAATCTTGACAATAAGACAGGACGTAATAAAATACCTATACAGAGAGAACAGAATGTGTAGAATATGTAAAAATGAAGTAGAGGAAGAATATCATATTGTTTTAATCTGTCCACATTTTGAAGAGCTTCGTAAAAATATATCAAGAAATACCAGTATTACCGGCAGAAGGCATATGTGTTTAAATTTATACAATTATTAGGTTTCACAATGTACATAAACTCTGTAATTTGAGGAAATATATTCATTATGCTTTTAAGTTGAAGGAACACCCAGAATGTTTTTGAAATGTTTTTTTGTTTTGTTTTTTTTCAAAGCACGATATCAAAAAATTGTCATAATCCCATCATCATTTTAATGCAATCAAAAAAAAAAAAAAGAGATGAACATTGCTTTGATTATAGCGTCTACCAAGGATGGCTATGTTTTGGAATGTACTGTTTTTTAACCCCAGTAGGCAAAAGGTATAGATACATTATATACATAGATTCTTTCCCTTGTGACTGATTGAATGTTGGTAATTTGCATAAAGTCATTTTGTAACAAAGTTCGATAATTCAAATTATGTCCCTTTGAACAACGTAGCAAAAACATCCCTTCATATTATGCAAATGTTAAGACAATGCTAACGAATAGCAAGGATGTGTACTATATAAGACTTTAGAGAGTCTCCTTACATGATTAACTGAACAGCGGTAACGTCCCGTGTCAGTTTGGAATCTTTGAGAGTTTCCATGTGAGTTTACCTCACAAATCAAGCACTGCATTGCAGTAAAGACAAGCTTTAAGTACCCAAACTAGTTACTTGACCCCCTACTCCCCCCTCAAAAAAAAAAAATCAGTAATATATAACATTTTTACAAACTCATTTGACATACGTAGTAGTTACTGAATTCTTGATTAACACTCATAGTAAGAAAACAATCATAAGAAAATGTGAACATAATTATTCCATTCACAACTCCATGGTTTTTGTAAACTTGAAGAAAACCAAATTAGAAAATTCAAAAGAGTTGGTTTCAACATTTTTTAAAATATAATCATGCTTTAAAAATGGACTCAATGGGCGCAGTGCATTAAAGTCAGTCTAATTCTTATAAAGATATTGCAAATTAAGAAATCTACTCGTCTGTCAAAGAGGAGTGTTAAGGTAGGATTCTTCTCATATTTCTAATATTTAAAAATTAATGAAATTTTCACAGAATCAAGAAGACAATATCAGTAAGTGATAGTATCAGTTAAATTAAATTTGACCGTTTTGTATTAGAGGCAAGGTCAGGTCAAGGTCATTATCTTTTTCTTTGA